TGTGTGCTGGTGCTGTCTTAGGTCATGGGAGCTGTATGGGTCATGTGTGCTGGTGCTGTCTTAGGTCATGGGAGCTGTATGGGTCATGTGTGCTGGTGCTGTCTTAGGTCATGGGAGCTGTATGGGTCATGTGTCCTGGTGCTGTCTAAGGTCACTGGAACTGTATGGGTCATGTGTCCTGGTGCTGTCTTAGGTCATGGGAGCTGTATGGGTCATGTGTGCTGGTGCTGTCTTAGGTCATGGGAGCTGTATGGGTCATGTGTGCTGGTGCTGTCTTAGGTCATGGGAACTGTATGGGTCATGTGTGCTGGTGCTGTCTTAGGTCATGGGAGCTGTATGGGTCATGTGTGCTGGTGCTGTCTTAGGTCATGGGAACTGTATGGGTCATGCGTCCTGGTGCTGTCTTAGGTCACGGGAGCTGTATGGGTCATGTGTGCTGGTGCTGTCGTAGGTCATGGGAGCTCTATGGGTCATGTGTGCTGGTGCTGTCTTAGGTCATGGGAGCTGTATGGGTCATGTGTGCTGGTGCTGTCTTAGGTCATGGGAGCTGTATGGATCATGCGTCCTGGTGCTGTCTTAGGTCATGGGAACTGTATGGGTCATGCGTCCTGGTGCTGTCTTAGGTCATGGGAGCTGTATGGGTCATGTGTGCTGGTGCTGTCTTAGGTCATGGGAGCTGTATGGGTCATGTGTGCTGGTGCTGTCTTAGGTCATGGGAGCTGTATGGGTCATGTGTGCTGGTGCTGTCGTAGGTCATGGGAGCTGTATGGGTCATGTGTGCTGGTGCTGTCTTAGGTCATGGGAGCTGTATGGGTCATGTGTGCTGGTGCTGTCTTAGGTCACGGGAGCTGTATGGGTCATGTGTCCTGGTGCTGTCTTAGGTCATGGGAGCTGTATGGGTCATGTGTGCTGGTGCTGTCTTAGGTCATGGGAGCTGTATGGGTCATGTGTGCTGGTGCTGTCTTAGGTCACTGGAGCTGTATGGGTCATGTGTGCTGGTGCTGTCGTAGGTCATGGGAGCTGTATGGGTCATGTGTGCTGGTGCTGTCTTAGGTCACGGGAGCTGTATGGGTCATGTGTGCTGTATGGGTCATGTGTGCTGGTGCTGTCGTAGGTCATGGGAGCTGTATGGGTCATGTGTGCTGGTGCTGTCTTAGGTCATGGGAGCTGTATGGGTCATGTGTGCTGGTGCTGTCGTAGGTCATGGGAGCTGTATGGGTCATGTGTGCTGGTGCTGTCGTAGGTCATGGGAGCTGTATGGGTCATGTGTGCTGGTGCTGTCTTAGGTCATGGGAGCTGTATTGGTCATGTGTGCTGGTGCTGTCTTAGGTCATGGGAGCTGTATGGGTCATGTGTGCTGGTGCTGTCGTAGGTCATGGGAGCTGTATGGGTCATGTGTGCTGGTGCTGTCGTAGGTCATGGGAGCTGTATGGGTCATGTGTGCTGGTGATGTCTTAGGTCATGGGAGTTGTATGGGTCATGTGTGCTGGTGCTGTCTTAGGTCATGGGAGCTGTATGGGTCATGTGTGCTGGTGCTGTCTTAGGTCATGGGAGCTGTATGGGTCATGTGTGCTGGTGCTGTCTTAGGTCATGGGAGCTGTATGGGTCATGTGTGCTGGTGCTGTCTTAGGTCATGGGAGCTGTATGGGTCATGTGTGCTGGTGCTGTCTTAGGTCATGGGAGCTGTATGGGTCATGTGTGCTGGTGCTGTCTTAGGTCACGGGAGCTGTATGGGTCATGTGTGCTGGTGCTGTCGTAGGTCATGGGAGCTGTATGGGTCATGTGTGCTGGTGCTGTCGTAGGTCATGGGAGCTCTATGGGTCATGTGTGCTGGTGCTGTCTTAGGTTATGGGAGCTGTATGGGTCATGTGTGCTGGTGCTGTCTTAGGTCATGGGAGCTGTATGGGTCATGTGTGCTGGTGCTGTCTTAGGTCATGGGAGCTGCATGGGTCATGTGTCCTGGTGCTGTCTTAGGTCATGGGAGCTGTATGGGTCATGTGTGCTGGTGCTGTCTTAGGTCACGGGAGCTGTATGGATCATGTGTCCTGGTGCTGTCTTAGGTCATGGGAGCTGTATGGGTCATGTGTGCTGGTGCTGTCTTAGGTCATGGGAGCTGTATGGGTCATGTGTGCTGGTGCTGTCTTAGGTCATGGGAGCTGTATGGGTCATGTGTCCTGGTGCTGTCTTAGGTCATGGGAGCTGTATGGGTCATGTGTGCTGGTGCTGTCTTAGGTCATGGGAGCTGTATGGGTCATGTGTGCTGGTGCTGTCTTAGGTCACGGGAGCTGTATGGGTCATGTGTCCTGGTGCTGTCTTAGGTCATGGGAGCTGTATGGGTCATGTGTGCTGGTGCTGTCTTAGGTCACTGGAGCTGTATGGGTCATGTGTGCTGGTGCTGTCTTAGGTCATGGGAGCTGTATGGGTCATGTGTGCTGGTGCTGTCTTAGGTCACTGGAGCTGTATGGGTCATGTGTGCTGGTGCTGTCGTAGGTCATGGGAGCTGTATGGGTCATGTGTGCTGGTGCTGTCTTAGGTCACGGGAGCTGTATGGGTCATGTGTGCTGTATGGGTCATGTGTGCTGGTGCTGTCTTAGGTCATGGGAGCTGTATGGGTCATGTGTGCTGGTGCTGTCTTAGGTCACGGGAGCTGTATGGGTCATGTGTGCTGTATGGGTCATGTGTGCTGGTGCTGTCTTAGGTCATGGGAGCTGTATGGGTCATGTGTGCTGGTGCTGTCTTAGGTCATGGGAGCTGTATGGGTCATGTGTGCTGGTGCTGTCTTAGGTCATGGGAGCTGTATGGGTCATGTGTGCTGGTGCTGTCTTAGGTCATGGGAGCTGTATGGGTCATGTGTGCTGGTGCTGTCGTAGGTCATGGGAGCTGTATGGGTCATGTGTGCTGGTGCTGTCTTAGGTCATGGGAGCTGTATGGGTCATGTGTGCTGGTGCTGTCTTAGGTCATGGGAGCTGTATGGATCATGTGTCCTGGTGCTGTCGTAGGTCATGGGAGCTGTATGGGTCATGTGTGCTGGTGCTGTCTTAGGTCATGGGAGCTGTATGGGTCATGTGTGCTGGTGCTGTCTTAGGTCACGGGAGCTGTATGGGTCATGTGTGCTGTATGGGTCATGTGTGCTGGTGCTGTCGTAGGTCATGGGAGCTGTATGGGTCATGTGTCCTGGTGCTGTCTTAGGTCATGGGAGCTGTATGGATCATGTGTCCTGGTGCTGTCGTAGGTCATGGGAGCTGTATGGGTCATGTGTGCTGGTGCTGTCTTAGGTCATGGGAGCTGTATGGGTCATGTGTGCTGGTGCTGTCTTAGGTCATGGGAGCTGTATGGGTCATGTGTGCTGGTGCTGTCTTAGGTCATGGGAGCTGTATGGGTCATGTGTGCTGGTGCTGTCGTAGGTCATGGGAGCTGTATGGGTCATGTGTGCTGGTGCTGTCGTAGGTCATGGGAGCTGTATGGGTCATGTGTGCTGGTGCTGTCTTAGGTCATGGGAGCTGTATGGGTCATGTGTGCTGGTGCTGTCTTAGGTCACGGGAGCTGTATGGGTCATGTGTGCTGGTGCTGTCTTAGGTCATGGGAGCTGTATGGGTCATGTGTGCTGGTGCTGTCTTAGGTCATGGGAGCTGTATGGGTCATGTGTGCTGGTGCTGTCGTAGGTCATGGGAGCTGTATGGGTCATGTGTGCTGGTGCTGTCGTAGGTCATGGGAGCTGTATGGGTCATGTGTGCTGGTGCTGTCGTAGGTCATGGGAGCTGTATGGGTCATGTGTGCTGGTGCTGTCGTAGGTCATGGGAGCTGTATGGGTCATGTGTGCTGGTGCTGTCTTAGGTCATGGGAGCTGTATGGGTCATGTGTGCTGGTGCTGTCTTAGGTCATGGGAGCTGTATGGGTCATGTGTGCTGGTGCTGTCGTAGGTCATTGGAGCTGTATGGGTCATGTGTGCTGGTGCTGTCTTAGGTCATGGGAGCTGTATGGGTCATGTGTGCTGGTGCTGTCTTAGGTCATGGGAGCTGTATGGGTCATGTGTGCTGGTGCTGTCTTAGGTCATGGGAGCTGTATGGGTCATGTGTGCTGGTGCTGTCTTAGGTCATGGGAGCTGTATGGGTCATGTGTGCTGGTGCTGTCTTAGGTCACGGGAGCTGTATGGGTCATGTGTGCTGGTGCTGTCGTAGGTCATGGGAGCTGTATGGGTCATGTGTGCTGGTGCTGTCGTAGGTCATGGGAGCTGTATGGGTCATGTGTGCTGGTGCTGTCTTAGGTCATGGGAGCTGTATGGGTCATGGGAGCTGTATGGGTCATGTGTGCTGGTGCTGTCTTAGGTCATGGGAGCTGTATGGGTCATGTGTGCTGGTGCTGTCGTAGGTCATGGGAGCTGTATGGGTCATGTGTGCTGGTGCTGTCTTAGGTCATGGGAGCTGTATGGGTCATGTGTGCTGGTGCTGTCTTAGGTCATGGGAGCTGTATGGGTCATGGGAGCTGTATGGGTCATGTGTGCTGGTGCTGTCTTAGGTCATGGGAGCTGTATGGGTCATGTGTGCTGGTGCTGTCGTAGGTCATGGGAGCTGTATGGGTCATGTGTGCTGGTGCTGTCTTAGGTCATGGGAGCTGTATGGGTCATGTGTGCTGGTGCTGTCGTAGGTCATGGGAGCTGTATGGGTCATGTGTGCTGGTGCTGTCTTAGGTCATGGGAGCTGTATGGGTCATGTGTGCTGGTGCTGTCGTAGGTCATGGGAGCTGTATGGGTCATGTGTGCTGGTGCTGTCGTAGGTCATGGGAGCTGTATGGGTCATGTGTGCTGGTGCTGTCGTAGGTCATGGGAGCTGTATGGGTCATGTGTGCTGGTGCTGTCTTAGGTCATGGGAGCTGTATGGGTCATGTGTTCTGGTGCTGTCGTAGGTCATGGGAGCTGTATGGGTCATGTGTGCTGGTGCTGTCTTAGGTCATGGGAGCTGTATGGGTCATGTGTGCTGGTGCTGTCACCAGGTCAGATAGATAAGAAACATATGCACAGACGCAGGCTTTGTTCAACGGTGCTAGTACAACAGGGTCCCGTCCACCGATAAGATGCAAGTCCTTCTGTCTCTGTGCTGCCTGCTGCCCCTGGCCGGTCAGTATTGTATACACCTTCACATGTCTCATCATATATACACTACAGGCAATGACAAACTGTATTCTGTCTCATCTCAAAATATTTGATTGATTTCCGTGCAGCTGTGACAGGTTCTCCCACAGCGAACATACTCACACTACGCCATAGCCCAGCATATGGCTGTCTACATGGTCACACGTGGTGTCACTGTAGCTAGATTCTGTACTTACTAGGAATGCCGAATTTGTCATAAACATCCCTTCTGAACCCATAGTTTTATACAGCTTAAACGGGATCTGTGTTAAATACTGAGATCAGGAAATTACGTTTTAAATGAACACGCTGACAACGAACTGACGGATATAACGAACTATAATACACAAAGAAAAAAGTTAAGCACACCCCTATTTGTGAACCATGACAAATGACAAAAATGGCATTGGATGACTGACCACAGGAGCTTGGCGATACCAATGCCATCGTGTAGAACAAACTTTGGACAACAAATAAAGCAGATATTGGTGAGTTGTGATTGAAATTTACTGACAAAAACATCATGGTAACACAGATACTGTTTTTGACCTTAGAAAATACCTTAAAAAAGTTTGGTGCTGCAGGATTAAGTAAACGAGTTACGTTTGATGTTTCATGTGAAAATGTTCCTTAAAGTCGCTACTTGACATGACACGTGATACAGATCAGTGGCGGGTATAACCGCCAAGTGCCCGGATGACGCATTCCACCCTACGTCTCATGCCTCCAGTCAGACGTTGGATCTGTTGATGGATCAACAACAACCACTCCTGATGCAATGCTACTTCCAATTGGGATAAATATTGTACAGGAGGATCTCGTGCCTGTATGCGCCGCCCAAGAATATCCCAAACATGTTCAAGGGGGTTCATTGCTGGCTCATTGCTGGCTAAGGTAGAGTCGTTATTGCATTGGCCCTCATGTAATCCACGACTGTCGAGTAGCAAGAGAGTGGTTGTCAAAATGAGGAACGAGGACTGGCCTCAAAACGTCCCGGATGTACTGAGCCCCTGTAAGTTGCCTCTCATGGTGACAGTCGGTTTAATGTTCCTTGCGATGTAGGCCGTGTTCCGGTGCTTCCAAACTCTCGTTCTTCCATCAGTGACGTGGACCAGAAAGCGACTTTCGTCTGACCAATGGATCCGTCTCCAAGTTCTCAGATTCCAGTTCTGTCGCGCAATACATCATGCTAAACGAACAACTTTGTGTTGATCTCTCAACATGGGACGCTTTTTGACTCGTCTATAGCTAGCCCTCAGTCCTGCTGCTTTGAGACGGTTCCTGACGGTTCTGGTGCTGAAACGACGATTGGGCAACCACAGTTTCAGAATTGTACTTGTTAAAAAGGGTTGTCGGCGGGAGAGACGAGGGAGGTCCCTGTCTTCGCGATGTGTCGCCACACGAGGTCTTCCGGATCTGGGACGGCCCTGTGGATCACCGGTCTGAGCATGTTTCTCGACTAAACGGCTTACGACAGTGTGGTGATATATGGTTTTATTCCTCATACCTGATATTTACCATCCCCAAACACCCAAGCGTGATAACCTTTTGATCATATAATGTCATTCCTTAGTTCTGTGCATGAAAATCGCTTTCCATCTCACACAGACATTACCGAAACATTGCAAGTTTTTCTGAAATGCGCGCATTAATATATATTACGTCACTGGGTAAGTGATGTGTCAGTCGGACAGTGACAGTAGTCAATATAGTTCCAACTAAAATCTGTTTCTTACACAGTGGCGAAACAACATATACTCAAAACAACAATTACCTACACAACTTGTTTTACTTGACTTTCGTGATAATCCATCGGTCTGTGCGCTGGAGTAACTGCCCTTTGTCAAAGGGAATCTACTCTGACCCTAGTCTATAAGACGTCACGGCCACGTCAGACGTTATTGACAGCTGCAGTCGGCCTGTCCTGTCATAACGATACGAGGTGCAGGCAGATGTACACACAGCGACAAAACGAAATACATGTAGGTAACAATTAGAACATATTTCGGCCAAATCCAACTGTTTTCATTTGTGGAAAAGGTTCCAAGCCGCAGAGGTCTACAAGCACAGATATGGCTACTGATCCCGCTTGGCTAGGCCTAATGCCCTCTCAAAATGGTTTCGAAATTTATGTCTCCAAAGTTGCCAAGACTTGTAAAATGCCTTAGCTACTTCACAGTTAGACACTGATTTTCAGTATATTAGACTGTTCTTTTGATAATGATAACAATTATCCCTGTAGTTTATCCAGATTCCCGATGGTTAATTCTGACTCGATCGCCGAATGACATGGGCGACTGAAACACTGAAAGTAGTCCCTACTTGACCTTTGATATTTGCATCTCTATCCGCATATGACCCCAACGGACATCGTTTTTATCCGTTGGCTTTATCCTGCCGAGAAACCTTCCTATTATATGATAAAGGGGGTTATCTACAATGTATATGACTGCTTTGAGTAGCACAGTGTGTTGCACCACGTGGTCCTGTCTAATGTAGTTCACGGTTGCAGTGTACAGTCAGACCACCCAAGGCCCACTGCCCACGCACTCCTGGGTCTCGTGTCAATACAAACAAAATGGCTTCCTGGAGATGGGCTGCTGGGGCTATGTCACGTGCAAGGACGGCGTCCCCTTCACCACCTACTGTCCAACTGGTCAGGTGTATGACCGGGACAGTAGTACTTGTGTTCCGTAAGTCAACATTCTGTGTGTGCCATCCATTGATTGATTCTACATGACGTTACTGTGTGCATGCCATACATTGATTGATTCTACATGACGTTACCGTGTGCATACCATACATTGATTGATTCTACATGACGTTACCGTGTGCATGCCATACACTGATTGATTCTACATGACGTTACTGTGTGCATGCCATACATTGATTGATTCTAATAGGCGTTACCGTGTACATACCATACATTGATTGATTCTACATGATTTTACTGTGTGCATGCCATACATTGATTGATTCTATATGACGTTACCGTGTGCATACCATACATTGATCGATTCTACATCACGTAACCGTGTGCATACCATACATTGATTGATTCTACATGACGTTACTGTGTGCATACTATACATTGATTGATTCTACATGACGTTACCGTGTGCATGCCATGCATTGATTGATTCTACATGCCGTTATCTACATGACGTTACTGTGTGCATGCCACACATTGATTGATTCTACATGACGTTACTGTGTGCATGCCATACATTGATTGATTCTACATGACGTTACCGTGTGCATGCCATACACTGATTGATTCTACATGACGTTATCTACATGACGTTACTGTGTGCATGCCATACATTGATTGATTCTACATGACGTTATTGTGTGCATACCATACATTGATCGATTCTACATGACGTTACCGTGTGCATACCATAGATTGATTGATTCTACATGACGTTATCTACATGACGTGACCGTGTGCATGCCATACATTGATTGATTCTACATGACGTAACTGTGTGCATGGCATACATTGATCGATTCTACATGACGTAACCGTGTGCATACCATACGATGATTGATTCTACATGACGTTATCAACATGACGTTACTGTGTGCATGCCACACATTGATTGATACTACATGACGCTACCGTGTGCATACCATACATTGATTGATTCTACTTGACGTTATCTACATGACGTTACCGTGTGCATGCCATACATTGATGGATTCTAATAGGCGTTACCGTGTGCATACCATACATTGATTGATTCTACATGACGTTACTGTGTGCATGCCATACATTGATTGATTCTATATGACGTTACTGTGTGCATGTCATACATTGATTGATTCTACATGACGTTACCGTGTGCATGCCATACATTGATTGATTCTACATGACGTTATCTACATGGCGTTACTGTGTTCATACCATACATTGATTGATTCTACACGACGTCACCGTGAACATGCCATACATTGATTGATTCTACATGACGTTACTGTGTGCATACTTTACATTGATTGATTCTACATGACGTTACCGTGTGCATGCCATGCATTGATTGATCCTACATGACGTTATCTACATGGCGTCACCGTGTGCATGCCATATATTGCTTGATTCTAAATGAGGTTACTGTGTGCATACCATACATTGATTGATTCTACATGACGATACTGTGTGCATGCCATACATTGATTGATTCTACATGACGTTTTCTACATGACGTTACCGTGTGCATGCCATACATTGATTGATTCTACATGACGTTACTGTGTGCATGCCATACATTGATTGATTGTACATGACGTTATCTACATGACGTTACTGTGGGCATACCATACATTGATTGATTCTACATGACCTTATCTACATGACGTTACTATGTGCATGCCGTACATTGATTGATTCTACATGACCTTATCTACATGACGTTACTGTGTGCATACCATACATTGATTGATTCTACATGACGTTATTGTGTGCATGCCATACACTGATTGATTCTACATGACCTTATCTACATGACGTTACTGTGTGCATACCATACATTGATTGATTCTACATGACGTTATTATGTGCATGCCATACATTGATCGATTCTACATGACGTTACCGTGTGCATACCATAGATTGATTGATTCTACATGACGTTATCTACATGACGTGACCGTGTGCATACCATACATTGATTGATTCTACATGATGTTACTGTGTGCATACCATACATTGATTGATTCTACATGATGTTACTGTGTGCATACCATACATTGATTGATTCTACATGACGTTACTGTGTGCATACCATACATTGATTGATTCTACATGACGTTACTGTGTGCATACCATACATTGATTGATTCTACATGACGACACTGTGTGCATGCCATACATTGATTGGTTCTACATGACGTTATCTACATGACGTTACCGTGTGCATGCCATACATTGATTGATTCTACATGACGTTACTGTGTGCATGCCATACATTGATTGGTTCTACATGACGTTATCTACATGACGTTACTGTGTGATTGCCATACATTGATTGATTCTACATGACGTTACCTTGTGCATGCCATACATTGATTGATTCTACATGACGTTATCTACATGACGTTACCGTGTGCATGCCATACATTGATTGATTCTACATGACGTTATTGTGTGCATGCCATACATTGTTTGATTCTACATGACGTTACCGTGTGCATACCATAGATTGATTGATTCTACATGACGTTATCTACATGACGTTACTGTGTGCATGCCATACATTGATTGATTCTACATGACGTTACTGTGTGCATGCCATACATTGATCGATTCTACATGACGTTACCGTGTGCATACAATACATTGATTGATTCTACAGGACGTTATCTACATGATGTTACCGTGTGCATGCCATACATTGATTGATTCTACATGATGTTACTTTGTGCATACCATACATTGATTGATTCTACATGACGTTACTGTGTGCATACCATACATTGATTGATTCTACATGACGTTACCGTGTGCATACCATACATTGATTGATTCTACATGACGATACTGTGTGCATGCCGTACATTGATTGATTCTACTTGACGTTTTCTACATGACGTTACCGTGTGCATGCCATACATTGATTGATTCTACATGACGTTACTGTGTGCATGCCATACATTGATTGATTGTACATGACGTTATCTACATGACGTTACCGTGTGCATACCATACATTGATTGATTCTACATGACGTTATTGTGTGCATGCCATATATTGATTGATTCTACATGACCTTATCTACATGACGTCACCGTGTGCATGCCATACTTTGATTGATTCTACATGGCGTTACCGTGTGCATGCCGTACATTGATTGATTCTACATGACCTTATCTACATGACGTTACTGTGTGCATACCATACATTGTTTGATTCTACATGACGTTACCGTGTGCATGCCATGCATTGATTGATTCTACATGCCGTTATCTACATGACGTTACTGTGTGCATGCCACACATTGATCGATTCTACATGACGTTACTGTGTGCATACCATACATTGATTGATTTCTACATGACGTTATCTACATGACGTTACCGTGTGCATACCATACATTGATTGATTCTACATGACGTTATCTACATGACGTTACCGAGTGCATACCATACATTGATCGATTCTACATGACGTTATCTACATGACGTTACTGTGTGCATACCATACATTTGTTGATTCTACATGATGTTAATGTGTTGCATGCCGTCTTGTGATCTAGAGCTCGCACATGCTGTTCACTGTGTGCATGCCTGTGTGTGTTGCATGAACATTCGCGTTGCCACAAATCGTCACGTGTCATGTTGGTGACGGCATGACGGAAACTAAGCTATTGTGTCAGATGCCCCCTGGGTATTTACCATGATAGTATGGATATGTTGCTCTGATTTATGGAGGATTGCCGTTTACTTGTGAGGCTTGATAATCGAGTATGGATGTTCACTTGTGAGACTGGATAATCGAGGTGACCCCCTCACTCCCCAATGTTACAGCCCCGGTACAACCCACGTGAAGTGTAACCAAGTGAAGCCGTGTGCCCTCAAGTACGACCACCGCTATGCCGACATAGAGGACAAGTGCGAGTCCTACTACCTGTGCATGGCCCAGTCCTTCTTCGGCAGATTCTATTGCCCTAAAGGTAACACCCGACACGCCCACTTCGTAGTTGATACTGATACTACTACTCTTACTCATACCACTACTTCTACTACAACAACTACTACTACTACTTCTTCTTCTTCAGCTACAACTATTACTACAATTACTTCAACTACAACTACTACTACTACTTCTTTTACTACTACTACTCATAATGATACTACTACTTTTACTACAACTACTACCACTTGTACCACAACTACTACTACTTCTGCTACTACAAGTACTACTACTTCTTCTACAACAACTACTCCTTCTATTACAACAACTACTACTGCTCCTACTATTCTACAACAACTACTACTGCTACTACTACTTCTACTACTACAACAACAACTACTAGTACTACTACTACTACTATTTCTACAACTACTACTACTACTACTACTACTACTTCCTCTACTAAAACAATTACTACTACTACTTCTACTAGTACTACTTCTACTACTACAACTACTTCTTCTACTGCAGCATCAAGTACTACTTCTATTACAACAACTACCAGTACTTCTACTACTACGCTACTATTACTTCTTCTTCTTCTACTACTACTAATAGTCGGAAGGTCGGGGTTCGATCCCCGTCATACCAAGATACGTCATTAATGGGCTAATACAATGACATGTCGGCCCGGACTGTCTACCATGTCTGAGTGGGGTAGTCCTGTTCAACTGCGGCATGTTATCTAAGAGGGCTAATACAATGACATGTCGGCCCGGACTGTCTACCATGTCTGAGTGTGGTAGTCCTGTTCAACTGCGGCATGTTATCTCAGAGGGCTAATACAATGACATGTCGGCCCGGACTGTCTACCATGTCTGAGTGTGGTAGTCCTGTTCAACTGCGGCATGTTATCTCAGAGGGCTAATACAATGACATGTCGGCCCGGACTGTCTACCATGTCTGAGTGGGGTAGTCCTGTTCAACTGTGGCATGTTATCTGAGAGGGCTAATACAATGACATGTCGGCCCGGACTGTCTACCATGTCTGAGTGGGGTAGTCCTGTTCAACTGTGGCATGTTATCTGAGAGGGCTAATACAATGACATGTCGGCCCGGACTGTCTACTATGTCTGAGTGGGGTAGTCCTGTTCAACTGCGGCATGTTATCTCAGAGGGCTAATACAATGACATGTCGGCCCGGACTGTCTACCATGTCTGAGTGTGGTAGTCCTGTTCAACTGTGGCATGTTATCTCAGAGGGCTAATACAATGACATGTCGGCCCGGACTGTCTACCATGTCTGAGTGGGGTAGTCCTGTTCAACTGCGGCATGTTATCTGAGAGGGCTAATACAATGACATGTCGGCCCGGACTGTCTACTATGTCTGAGTGGGGTAGTCCTGTTCAACTGCGGCATGTTATCTCAGAGGGCTAATACAATGACATGTCGGCCCGGACTGTCTACCATGTCTGAGTGTGGTAGTCCTGTTCAACTGCGGCATGTTATCTCAGAGGGCTAATACAATGACATGTCGGCCCGGACTGTCTACCATGTCTGAGTGGGGTAGTCCTGTTCAACTGTGGCATGTTATCTCAGAGGGCTAATACAATGACATGTCGGCCCGGACTGTCTACTATGTCTGAGTGGGGTAGTCCTGTTCAACTGTGGCATGTTATCTGAGAGGGCTAATACAATGACATGTCGGCCCGGACTGTCTACTATGTCTGAGTGGGGTAGTCCTGTTCAACTGTGGCATGTTATCTGAGAGGGCTAATACAATGACATGTCGGCCCGGACTGTCTACCATGTCTGAGTGGGGTAGTCCTGTTCAACTGTGGCATGTTATCTGAGAGGGCTAATACAATGACATGTCGGCCCGGACTGTCTACTATGTCTGAGTGGGGTAGTCCTGTTCAACTGCGGCATGTTATCTCAGAGGGCTAATACAATGACATGTCGGCCCGGACTGTCTACTATGTCTGAGTGGGGTAGTCCTGTTCAACTGCGGCATGTTATCTCAGAGGGCTAATACAATGACATGTCGGCCCGGACTGTCTACTATGTCTGAGTGGGGTAGTCCTGTTCAACTGCGGCATGTTATCTCAGAGGGCTAATACAATGACATGTCGGCCCGGACTGTCTACCATGTCTGAGTTGGGTAGTCCTGTTCAACTGCGGCATGTTATCTCAGAGGGCTAATACAATGACATGTCGGCCCGGACTGTCTACCATGTCTGAGTGGGGTAGTCCTGTTCAACTGTGGCATGTTATCTCAGTGGCCTAGTACTATAAATTGGGCACTAGCCCGGACCTGTACAAGCAGCCACACATACACACGTTCCTCTTGAATGCGACGTTAAACCCCATTTCACCTCTACTCCTACGACTACTACTACTACTACTACTACTACTACTACTACTACTGCTACTACTACTACTACTACTTCTACTACCTCTACCACTACTATCACTACCACTACTTCTACTGCTACAACTACTAATACAACTACTACTACAACTACTTCTACTACAACTACTATTACAACTACTATTACAACTACTACTACTACTGCTGCAGCTGCTACTACTACTCCTACTATTTCAACTTCTACTACTTCTCCAACAACTACTTCTACTACTTCTACTAGTGGAATACATCTACTACAACTATTACTACTACTACTGCTTTATAGGCGCCACCAAAACGTCCATATTTTCTGCTTCTATACGATGACTATTAAATTGCAGGCACTGTATTCAACGAGCCCCTGCAGACATGTGACTACCCCGGGGACACGCCACCCCCGTGCGGCACCCTCACTTACACCAGGACCACGCCCCACTTTTAATACTTCGTCCAATCACTGCATCCATTACATGATGTAACAATAAAGAAGATCGTATTTATCAGCCTTGATTTACTCCAGTCTCATGAAGGTCGCGTGGCAACCAGATACGTCTTATTGTAGGCGGCACGTGAAGTAAGTGGGCGGAGTGGCACATCTGCAGGTGTTATCTGCACGTGTACCACGTGTGCATGTCTGAATGTGTCAGTCCCTTCATACACGTAGTCGTTACGACAAAAAGTGGTGAACGAGCGACCTTTCACATTTTCCCGCCCACCTCACGGCACGAGCCACTGAGAATGGTCTTCGCGCATTGCACTCTGTGTGGAATCGAACCCGGTCTTCTGTGTAAAGAGAAAATGCTATGACTATGTGGTTGTCCGGACTGCCCCTGAACACATTCATAACACTTTTCGTTAGTTGTTAATGAAGATTTCGCCAGACGTGTTGGTGCATCTGAGCTTGTCGTCACATCTGTTATGGCCACCCAGCGCTCTGGCCAGATATTGATGCGTAGTCTCAGTCTCAGTGTTCGGACTGTTTAGTGTCCGGGTTACCCAGTGTTCTGACTGTCTGTAGCCAGTGTCCGAGTTACCCAGTGTTCTGACTGTCTAGTGTCCGGGTTACACAGTGTTCGGACTGTTTAGTGTCCGAGTTACCCAGTGTTCTGACTGTCTATTGTCCGGGTTACACAGTGTTCGGACTGTTTAGTGTCCGGGTTACACAGTGTTCTGACTGTCCAGTGTCCGGTTTACCCAGTGTTCTGACTGTCTAGTGTCCGGGTTACACAGTGTTCGGACTGTTTAGTGTCCGGGTTACCCAGTGTTCTGACTGTCTGTAGCTAGTGTCCGAGTTACCCAGTGTTCTGACTGTCTAGTGTCCGGGTTACACAATGTTCTGACTGTCTGTAGCTAGTGTCCGAGTTACCCAGTGTTCTGACTGTCTAGTGTCCGGGTTACACAGTGTTCTGACTGTCTGTAGCTAGTGTCCGAGTTACCCAGTGTTCTGACTGTCTGTAGCTAGTGTCCGGGTTACACAGTGTTCTGACTGTCTGTAGCTAGTGTCCGAGTTACCCAGTGTTCTGACTGTCTGTAGCTAGTGTCCGGGTTACACAGTGTTCTGACTGTTCTGGCATCCTCGATCACTGCACATTTCACAAATTTGTCAATTCTCCAAAAGTCATACAATCTCATTAAAATCATATCTTAGATCTCGCTACCGCTAAACAAAGAGAGGACATCCCTTTACGGGTCCCGTCAGAACAACCTTTCGCGAACTTTGACCGACCAATGAGGTAACTGACAAGACGTCGTCATCAGCCAATCAAAAGGCAGCTTTCTCGTGGTTTAAGGCATTGGTTTCGAAACATATTTGGAGAAAATTTGGATTAAAAATTTGAAACCTGAACAAAAGAACATTGTGAAATGGCTCATAGATGATCTAGATTCTATGGATTGTTTGATAGGCATTACTTAGAAGTTGACGGATGACAAGATAGACACAATTTTATGGATAACAACTTCTTTAATACTGTGAAAAGCGATCTTTTCACAGTATTAAAGAAGTTGTTATCCATAAAATTGTGTCTATCTAGATTGTATGGATTCAGTCAAAGCCAAGAACTGTCGTTCGGGATACTCCGTGTCAAATTGTTCGAGGTTGAATGAATAGAACACACTTTCCGACTGCCACTTTCATGATCTGGTAAGCGAGGCTCTGATTGGTCGAATGAAAGGTCGTTCTGACGTGACCCGTAATGGGATGTCCTCAGATCTTTGTTTAGCTGTAGCGAGATCTAAGATCTGATTTTAATCTCCGAAGACAGTTTGATCGAAAGTAAGTATAAGAAACGAGTTATGTATAATTTAAAATGTGACTGGAAAAATCTCAGCTCTCTTATATGATTAAAACCCACTCCAGCCTCCGCCCACTGAGGTCGGGTTTAAATATTCATTAATGTTGTTTTATGTATATACTTTTTATCGTATAGAAACACATAACACATGCGACCCCTATAGTGGCCAAGAGGGAATATTGCTATACCAAGAGAAAGCGATAGAGCGAGAAAGCGATGTCCCCTCTCGGCCACCATACTTGCCTCGGGGGATCTGTAATATCTACCGGTCTATTTCACGCCATCTCTATAACTTCAACTTGTAATGTCTTCTGAAAATACGAGAATTCGATAATACTACGTGTACAATTACACCAAATTAGGTCACGTTTACCTACTTTCATTATCTATCTCTTCACGGAGTACTGTAGACCTGGTCGCGAGCTTCCCCGTGTCACGTGGTATTGGATGTCACGTGGCTTTCGACAGTATGTTAACCAAACACTTTAATCAATGTGACCTGGAAAGGGGAAGTCGGTTGGTTCTCCTTATGCAGGGCATTTGTGTAAACTCGGAAGATAAAGGCGACATGTGAAGAATGACCCACATTTCATCCAGCGCTTACCTTTGAGTAAATGAGACAACCGAGTCGCTGGGAAATATCAAACATGGCCGATGCCATCATTACGTCAAATATATCGCTTGATCCACACTACCATCAAGTGCTGGGTGTCGTTGTACAAAACAACTTTAGCGCTACGACTGTCGTAAGTCTATAATTAAGGTATGGGAGTTACGATCAACTTAGCGCTAAGATCGCTCTGTACAACGGCACCCAGGAGTATCACAAGAACAGGGTAGCCCCAGTTGTGGAGGTTCAAACCGTTGACGATAGACATGCTATATAAGAGTATGAAGTAACGATCGTCTTAGCGACGACATCCGTTAGCTATATAAGAGTATGAAGTAACGATCGTCTTTGCGACGACATCCGTTAGCTATATCAGAGTATGAAGTAACGATCGTCTTAGCGACGACATCCGTTAGCTATATCAGAGTATGAAGTAACGATCGTCTTAGCGACGACTTCTGCAAGCTGTGTTATAGTTTTAGGTAACGATCGTCTTAGCAACGACTGCCGTAAGCTATTGTAGCAGGGCGTGAAGTCTTCCCACAGATGACATCCTTACCTTGTCAGCTTGCTGACGGGGTTAACCTCTTTGGTCATGTGGACAAGGCGTCCGACCTCTGATCAGAAGGTCCATGGTTCGAATCCCATCACGGGACTCGGAACTTTTATGGCCGTCACACTATACAAGAGTATGAAGTAACGATCGTCTTAGCGACGACTACTGAAGCTATTTTACAGTGTGAAGTAACTATCGTCTTATCTACGACTGCTCCAAGCTACGAGGGGTGTTCATTAAAGATTTCCCCTAATCCACTTAGGGTTATCATATTTGGTTGAAATTTCACATGTGTAATGATACATGTATCTTTGGGTTATGTCTGAATTTGCAGCACCGAACTATTAATCTTACCACTTTTACAGGTGTTATGATCGAGTGGGGTGTGACAATGGAGCCAGTAGAATACCGAGCAGTGGTTAGGTTTTTATAAATGAAAGGTCGCACACCAAAAGAAACTTTCGATGAAATGAAAGCAACTTATGGGGAAGATGCCCCATCATATGACGTTGTTAAACACTGGCATCGCCAGTTCAAGTATGGTCGGACATCTGTGGAAACAGCTGCCATTCTTGGTCGCCCCCATTCAGGCATTGATGAGGACACTTTCCATCAAGTGGAGACCGCCATTTTGGCAGACCGACGCATAACTGTTCGCCAGTTAGCACAAGATGTCAAGATCAGTGTAGGGTCTGTGGAAAAAAATCATCCATGACAATTTGAACATGCATAAGGTGTCTGCACGATGGATTCCCAAGTTGCTCACACCTTTCCAAAAGCAGGAACGAGTCAATTGCTCAAAGGATCTTTTGGACATGTGCCAAAAAAAACAGGCAAACTTTTTTGACAGACTTATCACACAGGATGAAACATGGGTCCATCACTATGATCCTGAGACTAAAGTTCAGTCAATGCAATGGAAGCATGTGGAGTCACCACCCCCAAAGAAGGCACGTGTCCAACCCTCTGCAGGCAAGGTCATGCTCACGGTGTTTTGGGACCAGCACGAAGTAGTGATGATGGATTTCTTGGCAAAGGGTACCACAATTACAGGAGCTTATTATGCTTCACTGCTGTGGAAATTGCGGGACACTATCAAGCTTAAGAGGCGTGGCATACTAACCAAGGGTGTCCGTCTCCTGCAAGAAAATGCTCCAGTACACAACTCTCATGTTGCCCAGACAGAAGCGCGGTCCTGTGGCTATGGAATCCTTCCACATCCTCCTTACTCTCCTGACCTTGCACCATCTGACTTCCACCTCTTTTCAACCATGAAGTCATTTTTGAAGGGAAAACGTTTCACAGATGATGAAACACTGATTTCTGAAGTCAAGTCCTGGTTTGAGACGCAAAATGAGGGCTTTTACAAGCGAGGTCTCCATAGTTGCATAAAACGATGGGAGAAGTGTGTAACTCTTGGTGGTTCTTATGTGGAGAAAGACTAATACCTATGTTTCATTCCACTAGGTCCATCGGAAGTGGGTCAGGGGAAATCTTTAATGAACACCCCTCGTATGTTACAGTATGAAGTAGCCATCGTCTTTGGGACGACTCCCGCAGGGTATTTAAGATTCTGAAGTAACGATCATCTTAGCAACGACTACTGCAAGCTATGTTATAGTATGAGGTAACGGTCGTCTTAGCAACGACTACTGCAAGCTATGTTATAGTATCAGGTAACGATCGACTCAGCTACGTCTGCCGCAAGCTATATAAAAGTAGGAAGTAACGATCGTCGTAGCAACGACTGCTGCAAGCTATGTTATAGTATCAGGTAACGATCGACTTAGCTACGTCCGCCGCAAGCTATATAAAAGTAGGAAGTAACGATCGTCTTAGCAACGACTACTGCAAGCTATGTTATAGTATCAGGTAACGGTCGTCTTAGCAACGACTACTGCAGGCTATGTTATAGTATCAGGTAACGATCGACTCAGCTACGTCTGCCGCAAGCTATGCCATAGTATTAGGTAACGATCGTCTTAGCAACGACTACTTCAAGCTCTGTTATAGTATTAGGTAACGATCGTCTCAGCTACGTCTGCCGCAAGCTATGTAATAGTATCAGGTAACGATCGTCTTAGCAACGACTGCCGTAAGCTATATAAAAGTAGGAAGTAACCATCGTCTTTAGCGACGACTACTGCAAGCTATGTTATAGTATCAGGTAACGATCGTCTAAGCAACGACTGCCGTAAGCTATATAAAAGAAGGAAGTAACGATCGTCTTAGCGACGACTACTGCAAGCTTTGTTATAGTATCAGGTAACGATCGTCTTAGCAACGACTGCTGCAAGCTATATAAAAGTAGGAAGTAACGATCGTCTTAGCGACGACTACTGCAAGCTATGTTATAGTATCAGGTAACGATCGTCTTAGCAACGACTACTGCAAGCTATGTTATAGTATCAGGTAACGGTCGTCTTAGCAACGACTACTGCAAGCTATGTTATAGTATCAGGTAACGATCGTCACAGCTACGTCTGCCGCAAGCTATGTTATAGTATCAGGTAACGATCGTCTTAGCAACGACTGCCGTAAGCTATATAAAAGTAGGAAGTAACGATCGTCTTAGCGACGACTACTGCAAGCTATGTTATAGTATCAGGTAACAATCTTCTTAACAACGACTACTGCAAGCTATGTTATAGTATCAGGTAACGGTCGTCTTAGCAACGACTACTGCAAGCTATGTTATAGTATCAGGTAACGATCGTCTAAGCAACGACTACTGCAAGCTATGTTATAGTATCAGGTAACGGTCGTCTTAGCAACGACTGCTGCAAGCTATATAAAAGTAGGAAGTAACGATCGTCTTAGCAACGACTACTGCAAGCTATGTTATAGTATCAGGTAACGATCGTCTTAGCGACGACTGCCGTAAGCTATATAAAAGTAGGAAGTAACGATCGTCTTAGCGACGACTACTGCAAGCTATGTTATAATATCAGGTAACGATCGTCTTAGCAACGACTGCCGTAAGCTATATAAAAGTAGGAAGTAACGATCGTCTTAGCAACGACTACTGCAAGCTATGTTATAGTATCAGGTAACGATCGTCTAAGCAACGACTGCCGTAAGCTATATAAAAGTAGGAAGTAACGATCGTCTTAGCGACGACTACTGCAAGCTATGTTATAGTATCAGGTAACGATCGTCTAAGCAACGACTACTGCAAGCTATGTTATAGTATCAGGTAACGGTCGTCTTAGCAACGACTGCTGCAAGCTATATAAAAGTAGGAAGTAACGATCGTCTTAGCGACGACTACTGCAAGCTATGTTATAGTATCAGGTAACGATCGTCTTAGCAACGACTACTGCAAGCTATGTTATAGTATCAGGTAACGATCGTCTTAGCAACGAATACTGCAAGCTATGTTATAGTATCAGGTAATGATCGTCTTCGTGACGATTGTCGTCGGCTATTGGAGAGTTGGAAGTAACGATCGTCTTAGCAACGACTACTGCAAGCTATGTTATAGTATCAGGTAACGATCGTCTAAGCAACGACTACTGCAAGCTATGTTATAGTATCAGGTAACGGTCGTCTTAGCAACGACTGCTGCAAGCTATATAAAAGTAGGAAGTAACGATCGTCTTAGCGACGACTACTGCAAGCTATGTTATAGTATCAGGTAACGGTCGTCTTAGCAACGACTACTGCAAGCTATGCTATAGTATCAGGTAACGATCGTCTTAGCGACGACTTCTGCAAGCTATGTCATAGTATCAGGTAACGATCGTCTTAGCAACGACTACTGCAAGCAATGTTATAGTATCAGGTAACGATCGTCTTAGCAACGAATACTGCAAGCTATGTTATAGTATCAGGTAACGATCGTCTTAGCAACGACTACTGCAAGCTATGTTATAGTATCAGGTAACGATCGTCTTAGCAACGAATACTGCAAGCTATGTTATAGTATCAGGTAATGATCGTCTTCGTGACGATTGTCGTCGGCTATTGGAGAGTTGGAAGTAACGATCGTCTTAGCAACGACTACTGCAAGCTATGTTATAGTATCAGGTAACGATCGTCTTAGCAACGATTGCCGTAAGCTATAGGACAGTAGGAAGTAACGATCGTCTTAGCAACGACTACTGCAAGCTATGTTATAGTATCAGGTAACGATCGTCTTAGCAACGAATACTGCAAGCTATGTTATAGTATCATGTAACGATCGTCTTCGTGACGACTGTCGTGGGCTATAGGAGAGTTGGAAGTAACGATCGGCTATCTCAATGCTGCGACTCAAATATGTATAACGTTGAATCATGGGAAATCGCCGGTATTCGGCCTGACGAGCGAGCGCTTAGTATTACCTCAATTGTACCCCTTTGTACATTTTATCAATTCTCTTTTTACAGTTAATATACCTACACAAGATGAGTAGACTCATTAACACTACTTGCACCCCATGCCCCACATGACGAGGGTGGAAACTGAAACCTACACAAGCGTAGGAAGAATTAATTTATTTCCCCTGTTAACACATCTCTAATCAAATAAAAAATGTTTGCAGACACCCCACGCCGAGGGATGAAGATACAGCTCGCCACTGAGTTAACTGTTTGAAGCCTACATCCCCGGATGTACAACTCACGACCCCTAATCAATCATGCCCCGATCCCCTCGGCTGCCCCGTGCTCTAAGCAACAAGGGTGGTGCCCCGGTAAGTAGGCTTTCTCCCCCACAAAGATAACGGTACAAGGAGTATATATATAAAGACGGAGAGTGAGAGGGAATCTATTCATCTGTCTGACACAACATTCGGATCTTCACGAGACATTCTGATTTCAACATGCTTCAGTTAGTGGCGATTTTACTGGTGCTTCCTGCAGGTAAGCCACATCGCTTCTTTGAGACCCGAGGACTGCAGTGATTTGTGGGATGTAATCTACATAAACAACATTAATAAGAACAAATAATTCAAACCCTTGCATTTTAGTTTAAGTCACAGACGTTGGTATATTATGACCTGGTGTAGTCTAACGATGGTGTTTCATATAGCGTAGGGGTATCGTGTTCACTCCGCTCAAGACCTGTCTGTGCTCACAAATGTGGGACAAAACGTCACACCAGTTCCAGAACATCCTGCACGTCCAGTGAAAGTCTTAATAATTTCGTTACACCTCTTTTTAAAAAATGTCGATGCCCCCACGGGCTCCAGAATATCCAAGGTCGGCGAACACGCTTCGACGTGTCCAGTACCATGTTATACATTCGTTAACAACGTGTAAGGGGATTATGTACTACCGACACAAAATAAGGGGACAGATGAAATGATTTTGAAGGTGTAATGACGATAAATGTCAGTAAAATTAATTTCGGGCGTGCAGATCAATATCTGGTGTATCCACCATGGTCGATACATGCACGACACCTTGATGGTATACTGTTAATTTACTTGTGTATGGTTGCCCATGTCATTGCCCGCCAATACGCCCGAAGAGCTGCCTCACGCTGGGCCACGTTGGTGGGTTGTGGGTCTATGGCGTACACTCTCCACACCAGAACATCATCCCAATGTCCGAACGCCTTCTCGTCGGAGGTAACCGGTGACGACCTGGACACAATGTGGCCTGGCATTGTCATCTTGCAGTTCTAAATATCTGCCGATAATTCCAGCGAATGAAACAACGACAAAACGCAAAACTTCATCATATCGCTTGCGAGTCAAATGTCTCTTTCAAAATAACCTCATCAGTTCACCTGCCATGTAGATACCGCCCTACACCATGACACTACCGCCCCCATACCGATTATCGCCAGTAACCGTTGCCCCGGCACACCGCTCGCCTTTACGTCGCCAATACCGTTTTCTGCCATCTGTGAAAAGGAGGCAAAACCTTGGTTCGCCTGTAAATTAGGTGTAACGCCACTGGCACACAGCCCGCCCCTGGTCTTGCATGGACCACCCCAATCTTCACCGCCTATATTAAGCTGTTATGATCACACCCTTCGCAGGACACCATGCTTTCCGACGGGAAGTATAGAGCTGTATTTTAAGGAAGCTGTTGAAATTCGCCTTCCTGTTATTGTACGGTGTTCTCTATTGGGAGAGCAGATTGGAATCTATTGCGCAGTGCAGTGATGTAACGAGACGGTCTTGTCTCAGTGTCGGATGTTTTATGCCTACCATGCCCATTTCTCATTGCGCCCCCTCCCGTGTGACGGTACTTGTCCCACGGGCGATAAATTACTCTTTGTAATTTGCCAGACATTTGTTTCTTTTCGTCGAGATAATGTCTTTAATTTTCAGACGTGTGCTTAGCTCAGTTGCACTAGTGATTGCGCATTCGATGTGATCAGATGTAGAGTCCAGACACAACGCCACGGTATTGTTATTGTACACATAATATATAGTGTGTACAAGTATGTGGACATTTTGAGAAAGACTAGTGTCTCGCGTATTCCATGAAATTCCTAAGTGTCAATGGAGCGAGAGAAGTTGTGCTATACACAAGACGTTGACGATAGAATATAGCTATGTATATGCAGGAACTCATCAACGTGTTGGGAGACATATTGTTGCCTTTGTTGCTCCTTCTATGACGTACACGTATCTCCCTGTATCTCTATGACGTACACGTATCTCCTTGTAGCTCTATGACGTACACGTATCTCCCTGTATCTCTGTGACGTACACGTATCTCCCTGTATATCTTTGACGTACACGTATCTCCTTGTATCTCTGTGACGTACACGTATCTCCCTGTATCTCTATGACGTACACGTATCTCCTTGTATCTCTATGACGTACACGTATCTCCCTGTATATCTATGACGTACACGTATCTCCTTGTATCTCTATGACGTACACGTATCTCCCTGTATCTCTATGACGTACACGTATCTCCTTGTATCTCTATTGCGTACACGTATCTCCCTGTATCTCTATGACGTACATGTATCTCCCTGTATCTCTGTGACGTACACGTATCTCCCTGTATCTCTATGCCGCACACGTATCTCCTTTTATCTCCATGATGTACACGTATCTCCCTGTATCTCTATGACGGACACGTATCCCCCTGAATCTCTATGACGTACATGTATCTCCTTGTATCTCTATGACGTACACGTATCTCCCTGTATCTCTATGACGTACACGTATCTCCCTGTATCTCTATGACGTACATGTATCTTCCTGTATCTCTATGACGGACACGTATCCCCCTGAATCTCTATGACGTACATGTATCTCCTTGTATCTCTATAACGTACACGTATCCCCCTGTAGCCCCTATGTCGTACACATATCTGCCTGTATCTCTCTGACGTACACGTATCTCCCTGTATCTCTATGACGTACACGTATCTTCCTGTATCTCTATTACGTACACGTATCTCCCTGTATCTCTATGACGGACACGTATCTCCCTTTATCTCTATGACGTACATGTATCTCCCTGTATATCTGTGACGTACACGTTTCTCCCTGTATCTCTATGACGCACACGTATCTCTCTGGAACACTATGACGTACATGTATCTCCCTGTATCTCTATGACGTACACGTATCTCCCTGTATCTCTGTGACGTACACGTATCTCCCTGTATCTCTGTGACGTACACGTATCTCCCTGTATCTCTATGCCGCACACGTTTCTCCTTTTATCTCTATGACGTACACGTATCTCCCTGTATCTCTATGACGTACACGTATCTCCTTGTATCTCTATGACGTTCACGTATCTCCCTGTATCTCTATGACGTACATGTATCTCCTTGTATCGCTATGACGTACACGTATCTCCCTGTATCTCTATGACGTACATGTATCTCCTTGTATCTCTATGACGTACACGTATCTCCCTGTAACCCCTATGTCGTACACATATCTGCCTGTATATCTGTGACGTACATGTATCTCCCTGTATCTCTATGCCGTACACTATCTCCCTGTATCTCTACGCCGTACGTGTATCTCTATGTACCTACATGGCGTATATGTATCTCCTTGTAGCTCTGTGTCTGAACTGTACTGGCAAAGTCGATGGCAACTACGACATCGGCTGTCGTTCATACTCCACGTGCACCGCAGAAGTGTTCCAGATAGTCAGTTGCACTGACAACCAGGTGTACAACGGCAAGGTCGGCAAGTGTGACAAGTAAGCCATTTTATACATGCACAACATACGACTTATAGTTTAGAAACACTTATAAATACACCACAACAGAAAGTAAGACATTGCTCTTATTGTTAGCTTGTTTGATCCTTAACGCCGCACACAGCAATAATCCAGCTATATGACGACGGCCTGTAAGTAATCGAGCCTGGACTGGATAATCCAGTCAGCGAGCAGGACCCCCAGATCCCGTTTTTCGCCTCTTACGACAAGCATAGTCGGTTTTTACGGCAATCATGGGTTGAGGAAGACCTATTTACACACGCAATAGCAAACACACACACACATACCTAACACACCCACTTTTCACACCCAAACCGCTCACACACACAAAGACACACTTACATACACACACACAAACACCTAACACCTCTCTCTCTCTTTCTCTCTCTCTCTCTGTGTCTCTCTCTCTCTCTCTCTCTCTCTCTCTCTCTCTCTCTCTCGCTCTCTCTCTCTCTCTCTCACACACAAACACACACACAGACACCTAACACATCTCTCTCTCTTTCTCTCTCTCTCTCTCTCTCTCTCTCTCTCTCTCTCACACACACACACACAAACACCTAACACCTCTCTCTCTCTTTCTCTCTCTCTCTCTCTCTCACACACACACACACTCACAAACACCTAACACACACACCCAACACAAACAAACCCTCACAAATCTAACACACAAACCGTACACACACTCACACACATACCTAACACACAACCCTCACACACACACTTACATACACAAACACATAGATGTGTTAGGCGTGTGTAAGGTTTGTGTATGTGTGTTTGTGAGGTGTGTGTGTTAGGTATGTGTGTCAGTGTGTGCGAGGTATGTGTGTGTTAGGCTACACCCCTCACACACACCTAACACGCACACACACACACGCCTAACACAACTCACACATGTGTGTGATAGGTGTGTGTGTGTGTGTTTGATATGAGTGTAGCCTAACACACACACCTCACCCCCTCACACACTAAACACAAAAATACACACTCACACACACACCTAACACACATACCGCACACAGACACACTTACATACACAAACACACACCTCACACAGACACACTTACATACACAAACACACACCTCACACAGACACACTTACATACACAAACACACACCTAATACACACACACACACACACACACACACACACACATACACACCTAACACACATACCGCACACAGACACACTTACATACACAAACACACACCTCACACAGACACACTTACATACACAAACACACACCTTATACACACACACACACACACTACGAACATACATACCGCACACAGACACACTTACATACACAAACACACACCTAATACACACACACACACACACACACCGCACACAGACACACTTACATACACAAACACACACCTAATACACACACACACACTACGAACATACATACCGCACACAGACACACTTACATACACAAACACACACCTCACACACACACACACTTACATACACAAACACACAACTAATACACACATACATATCTAACACACAATCCTATCACACACACACACACACACACACACACACACACACACACACACACACACACACACACACACACACACACACACACACACACACACACACACACACACACACCTAACATACATATCTAACACACAATCCTATTACACACACACACACACACACACACAGAGCCAAGGGCGATTTTTCTCTGATTACTTTGTTTGCGCGGTAATATAGTCTTGACGTGTTCTTCATTTGACCGCCAGTCCAATATCCCCAGTGTGATGCTTCTCTATGATAAAGATGTGTGTGTATTCCCCAGTGTGATGCTTCTCTATGATAAAGATGTGTGTGTATTCCCCAGTGTGATGCTTCTCTATGATAAAGTTGTGTGTGTATTCCCCAGGGTGATGCTTCTCTATGATAAAGATGTGTGTGTATTCCCCAGTGTAATGCTTCTCTATGATAAAGATGTGTGTGTATTCCCCAGTGTGATGCTTCTCTATGATAAAGATGTGTGTGTATTCCCCAGTGTGATGCTTCTCTATGATAAAGATGTGTGTGTATTCCCCAGTGTGATGCTTCTCTATGATAAAGTTGTGTGTGTATTCCCCAGGGTGATGCTTCTCTATGATAAAGATGTGTGTGTATTCCCCAGTGTAATGCTTCTCTATGATAAAGATGTGTGTGTATTCCCCAGTGTGATGCTTCTCTATGATAAAGATGTGTGTGTATTCCGCAGACCTGAGAATGTGGCGCCACCCTGTGGAGTGCAGATCGACTGCAGCGGAAAGAAGGACGGCCACTACGCCGACACCAGCAACAACTGCGACTCCTACTTCACGTGTGCGGCGGGGGCCTTCTTCGGCCACAACCCCTGCCCCGGAGGTAACTTCTCACCCACAGTACTGTCACAAATCATCTTATTCTTCTCGCAATCCAGACCGCCTCTGTGGTCTAGTGGTAGAGCGTCCTCCAGTAGATCCGGTGTTCGATCCCCGGCAGCGTTACCCTGTCTGGCGATCGACTTTAAGGGGCTTAAACAAGGACTGGTCGCTCGACTTTATACTAATGTCAACCCTATTTTGATAAGCTAAAATATGTTATAGTATAGTATTGTTGTCGTTGGGAGGTGGACGGTCTACCTAATTCATTGACATACATTTTGGTCCCCATGAAGTGACATTGTCACTGTTATATAATCATGTATCCTAACCTGTGTCCCAGGGACCGTGTTTGACGAGGACATGCAGACCTGCAACTGGGCCAACGCCGTGAAGCCACCGTGTGGGACATACACGCCCACAGCTGCAAAACCCACCAAGTAGATTATATACATGTGTTTCAATAATAAACCCATTTTTCTATCGTCTTTGTCCCTGGTTTGTATATTGTCAGCTTGTAAACTGGTTACATGATGGAGTGAGTGAGTGAGTTGGCTTTTACGACGCTTTGAACAGTATTCTAGTTACATCACGGCGTGTTGGCTTAATGTGGGAGGAACGCCCGAAGTTATGTAGATCTCAGACGTTTACCACTTTGGTGAAATCCACGAGCAAGGGTATGGTGCTGACCCCGAAACAATATAGAGGCGAACCTGAATTTCAACCCACAACCACAGGTTTTTAGAGCGTGCTCAAGGGACGCCACTCTGCACAGCGAGTGGTGGCGCCCTAGACGACTGGGGCCCTCGTGTCCCAAGTCCCCATGTTATATGTATCTATCGCGTGCCTTGTCTCAGCATTAACTGCATCTTAGCCATCTGTTACGTGTCGATTCACAAAATGAAACAGTCCAGAAGTCTGCACGTAAAAGAACACAGTGTGAAACAAACAACCAGCAAATGGTATACAATCAACAAATGTAGAACAAAACTCACAAAGTTTACAAATCAATACAAATTACTGCACAGCAATTATAATGGCATTGAACAATAGAGTGGGAGAACAATATTCAACGGCAATAAATAATATGATGGCAGTGGTCAGTTTACAGTGGTGATAGCAAAAGTCAGTGATAATAATATATATTCACCCAGCGGCGACAGTGGTCAAGCTGTACAGGGAATCAGGGATGATGAACGATCCTCACATGAAAGCTGGTACCGAAGCGATGAAAATGCTTGAGAGACGAAAAGTGTGAGGGATTTGTGAACACTCTCTTGTCCAACTCTATGTACAGTCTAACAAGGCGCTGCAAGGTTCCACCAGTCCATCGGCACTAGAACATTAAAAGAGTGTCCACAACATTCTGTCATCGTCCATGGTGAACGGAAGTTTATATAGCACACTGGCATCTAAATATAGTAACTTCATGACGAGTGAGTGAGTGAGTGAGTGAGTTTTATCGTCGCTATTAGCAATATTCCAGCAATATCACAGCGGGGGACACCAGAAATGGGCTTCCCCCTGTGTACCCATGTGGGGAATCAAACTCGGGTCTTTCGTGTGACGAGCGAACGCTTTAACCTTTAGGCTACTTCACCTCCTCCATGGCCGAATATGCGACGGAGGCTTCAGACAAAATACAGCAAACAGTTCCGCAATCCTTCCCACCAACTGCGGGCGAGCTGGATAAACACCGGAAGTACCTAATCCTTGCTTGTCTCGTTGTGTACCTTGAGGTGACGATGGTGAAGCAAGTCCTCCAAACAAACATCCCAACACGAAGCACACACTGTCAGGGATTAGTGCTAGACTTGTTAATTCTTCACCGACTTCCCACGCCGCCTGACAGACCTCAGAAAGACCTGGTGGAAGGTATCAGCCAGACGCGGAGACTTCACCAAGGAACATACAGCAGCATGAACAGGATACCAGTCGTAGTGGCCGCCGCCATGTTGGCAATGTTGGCGCTAGGTAAGTAACCTGCCAGTGATATACACCGTGCTGTGAGATGCTACCCGCAGTAATGAATCAAGTCGAATGTTTACCTATATGCTGTATCAGATACACCAAGGCCATTATTAATATTGAACCATTCACTAGAACTATCCAGTTTTAAAAAACACAGCGACATTAAAGTCACTTTCACTCGTCGTCTGTGACTTACTCTTATGTCTTTCAACTCTGGGCTCTGAATTCTAAAAACATGTTCATTCCCCTCATGTGCTGTATGCCAAAACTGTATAAAAATACCCTCAAAGAGATACGCACTCTCACAGAACGAAGGGCATCATGCAGTAGGAATGTAAATACCAAATATTAGAAGAAAGATAAGTGTTGACGACAAACATCCTATACAAGATCGTTTATGTCTTTAAAACCTTACACCAAAACGCATCCTATAGTTTAAACATGCATCAAACAGAAGCGTCACATACGTGCGTAGGATGCTGTTCCTGATTTTGACACTTTCAAGGAAGGTCGATTAAACTCTGTGGACCATTATTTCTGTCAATCCTATTGATTCTGCTCGACATACAGTTGTGATTTATTTGATTTCATTCATGTTTTGTGTATGAACTGGACGATGCGTCGTCTGCAACGTGCGGCGCGTCTACCGTGTGGAAACTGGCAGAAGTCAGTGTGCAGTGGCCAATACCTTGAATGTGTCACACTCTGTGACTAGCAGAGTATGGAACGGGTACCAACAAACCCACAATGTTGACGATCGACCCCGTTCACGGCGTCCAAGGTCATCGGGAAGAGAACAGGATCGATTGATCCCAAACCAAGCTCTACGAAATCGAGCTCAAACAGGGAATCAGTACGAGTTACGGGAAACACGATGAGAAGGCGTGTCAATGCATGTCATCTCCGTGCTTCTGGAGTACGAGTTACGGGAAACACGATTAGAAGGCGTGTCAATGCATGTCATCTCCGTGCTTCTGGAGTACGAGTTACGGGAAACACGATGAGATGCATGTCATCTCCGTGCTCGACGGCCACGTGTTGTGCCGCCCCTTACACATTTTCACATTGCCAACAGACGTCAATGGTGTGCACGACGTCGACACTTGGGTAATCGTTGCTGGTCATGTGTCATGTTTTCAGATGAGTCCCGATTCACTTTGTATGTCCTTTGTAGGCGTGGTCGCATCTGGCGACGTCCAAATGAACGCCAAACCAATGTCAGTCTGAGACCTCATGACAAATGTGGCGGTGGATCGGCTATGGTGTGGGGTGGCATCAGTATTCCATAGAATGTCATGGCCAGCAATGAGCCCAGACCTTTTCCCCATTGAACACATCTGGGACATGATAGGGAGACGTGTGCGTTAACGTCATAGGCCACCGACCACGTTGGCTGAACTTGGCCAGGCGCTGCCAGAGGAGTGGGTCAGACTCCCTTTAATCGCCATCGGGAGACTCATAGGCATTGTGCCTCGACGAGTGAATGATTGCTTGACAAACCGTGGCCGTATCTACTGTCATACTTCACTTACCGGTTGTCATGTTACCTATGAAGCCACAAAACATTAGTAAACATCGACTTGAAACCACAATACATCGGTAAACATCGACTTGAAACCACAATACATCGGTAAACATCGACTTGAAGTCACAATACATCAGTAAACATCGACTTGAAGCCACAACACATCAGTACACATCGACTTGAAGCCACAATACATCAGTAAACATCGACTTGAAGCCACAATACATCAGTAAACATCGCCTTGAAGCCACAATTCATCGGTAAACATCGACTTGAAGCCACAATACAATACCATTCACCCGATGAAGGAACAAGAAGGACATTTCAGATTTGATGCTTCATGATCAGTGACCAAAATTATGTCCGATGCATTTCCTATTTTGACTTGTAGCCATGATAAGGTAAACACTTGACTTGCCTTTGGATGTGTTTGTGACGGGTGCCACCGATGGGGTAGGGTACCCTCACCTTCCCCGCGGACACTTGGTATCATCAATATTTGATAGTGCCTCATAAACACATGTACTCTGCTTATAGTTAATGTTTTTTGTCGCATTTAATTACCTGAATGAAAATATGTGGAATTAAGTCTGGTCACGTGACAGACCGTGTCCATGTTGCAATACCATCGCGCTCTTTTATTTTTTTGAGTTTCCTTCCTTAGGTTCGACGCAACCCTGTGGCAATGGGTTCCAAATGCACATCTGCCCTTGTTAGGAGTCTATCGTGTTTGTGTCAACACATGCTCTTCACAGTGGGGAGCGTCTAACGCCTGCATCAGCTCTCACACAAAACGGACCACTACAAAACTACCACACCCCTCATTGCAATGCCCGATTTACTGGCGTTGTATTGTTGATACAAGTCGGTGTCTACTGGCGCTGTATTATGAATTCAAAGCGCCTTAAATGGTGTTGTATTGTGACTAAAAGTCGGCGTTATTGACTTGTGGCTACTATAACTTGTAAACCTATCTGGAGGGGTAAATGGTGTGATGTACCCTGTGTGTGAGCCTATGTACCCCGAGCCGTCAAGGCTCACCCACAGGGAACATCACACCTGACGGCTCGGGGTACATAGGCTCACACACAGGGTACATCACACCTGACGGCTCGGGGTACATAGGCGCACACACAGGGTACATCGCACCTGACGGCTCGGGGTACATAGGCACATACACAGGGTACATCACACCAGACGGCTCAGGGTACATAGGCTCACACACAGGGTACATCACACCAGACGGCTCAGGGTACATAGGCTCACACACAGGGTACATCACACCAGACGGCTCAGGGTACATAGGCTCACACACAGGGTACATCACACCAGACGGCTCAGGGTACATAGGCTCACACACAGGGTACATCACACCAGACGGCTCAGGGTACATAGGCTCACACACAGGGTACATCACACCAGACGGCTCAGGGTACATAGGCTCACACACAGGGTACATCACACCAGACGGCTCAGGGTACATAGGCTCACACACAGGGTACATCACACCTGACGGCTCGGGGTACATAGGCTCACACACAGGGTACATCACACCTGACGGCTCAGGGTACATAGGCTCACACACAGGGTACATCACACCAGACGGCTCAGGGTACATAGGCACATACACAGGGTACATCACACCAGACGGCTCAGGGTACATAGGCACATACACAGGGTACATCACACCTGACGGCTCAGGGTACATAGGCTCACACACAGGGTACATCACACCTGACGGCTCAGGGTACATAGGCACATACACAGGGTACATCACACCTGACGGCTCGGGGTACATAGGCTCACACACAGGGTACATCACACCAGACGGCTCGGGGTACATAGGCTCACACACAGGGTACATCACACCTGACGGCTCGGGGTTCATAGGCTCACACACAGGGTACATCACACCTGACGGCTCGGGGTACATAGGCTCACACACAGGGTACATCACACCTGACGACTCACGGTACATAGGCTCATACACAGGGTATATCACACCTGACGGCTCGGGGTACATAGGCTCACACACAGGGTACATCACACCAGACGGCTCGGGGTACATAGGCTCACACACAGGGTACATCACACCTGACGGCTCGGGGTACATAGGCTCACACACAGGGTACATCACACCTGACGGCTCGGGGTACATAGGCTCACACACAGGGTACATCACACCTGACGGCTCGGGGTACATAGGCTCACACACAGGGTACATCACACCTGACGGCTCGGGGTACATAGGCTCACACACAGGGTACATCACACCAGACGGCTCGGGGTACATAGGCTCACACACAGGGTACATCACACCTGACGGCTCGGGGTACATAGGCTCACACACAGGGTACATCACACCAGACGGCTCGGGGTACATAGGCTCACACACAGGGTACATCACACCTGACGGCTCGGGGTACATAGGCTCACACACAGGGTACATCACACCAGACGGCTCGGGGTACATAGGCTCACACACAGGGTACAGAGGCTCATACACAGGGTACATCACACCATATGCTCAGAGGGTCTGGTTGAAGATGAATTTATCTCACCGACATTCCTTCATTCAGACTCGAAATATATGTCCGAAGTTTCACTGAGTATATTTAGTAATTTTGACATCTAACAGACCTGAGTAACTTCCCTTTACCCAATGCATTCGGATAAATATCGGTTCATTTCAGCGAGATAAGTAAGTTACCTGAGGTGTGTTACGATTTATTTCCCAGCGGGGTATAGAGCTGCCTACATGGAAAATAATTGCCTGCTCCTTAACCAGTCAGAAGCTAGTATTTTAAGGTGAAGTGAGATAAACGATTATGTTTACTGGCGTTGTATTGTGCCTACAAGTCGAAGTTGACTGGCGTTGTATTGTGCCTACAAGTCGATGTTTAATAACGGTGTATTGTGCCTACAGGTCGATGTTTAATAACGGTGTATTGTGCCTACAGGTCGATGTTCAATAATGGTGTATTGTGCCTACAAGTCGAGGTTTAATAACGGTGTATTGTGCCTACAGGTCGATGTTTAATAATGGTGTATTGTGCCTACAAGTCGAGGTTTAATAACGGTGTATTGTGCCTACAGGTCGATGTTTAATAATGGTGTATTGTGCCTACAAGTCGAGGTTTAATAACGGTGTATTGTGCCTACAGGTCGATGTTCAATAATGGTGTATTGTGCCTACAAGTCGAGGTTTAATAACGGTGTATTGTGCCTACAGGTCGATGTTTACTGGCGTTGTATTGTGCCTACAGGTCGATGTTTACTGGCGTTGTATTGTGCCTACAGGTCGATGTTTACTGGCGTTGTATTGTGCCTACAGGTCGATGTTTAATAATGGTGTATTGTGCCTACAAGTCGATGTGTACTGGCGTTGTATTGCGCCTACAGGTCGATGTTTAATGATGTTGTATTGTGCCTACAGGTCGATGTTTAATAACGGTGTATTGCGCCTACAGGTCGATGTTTACTGGCGTTGTATTGTGCCTACAGGTCGATGTTTAATAATGGTGTATTGCGCCTACAGGTCGATGTTTACTGGCGTTGTATTGTGCCTACAAGTCGATGTGTACTGGCGTTGTATTGCGCCTACAGGTCGATGTTTAATGATGTTGTATTGTGCCTACAGGTCGATGTTTAATAACGGTGTATTGTGCCTACAAGTCGATGTTTACTGGCGTTGTATTGTGCCTACAGGTCGATGTTTAATAATGGTGTATTGCGCCTACAGGTCGATGTTTACTGGCGTTGTATTGTGCCTACAGGTCGATGTTTAATGATGTTGTATTGTGCCTACAGGTCGATGTTTACTGGCGTTGTATTGTGCCTACAGGTCGATGTTTAATGATGTTGTATTGTGCCTACAAGTCGATGTGTACTGGCGTTGTATTGTGCCTACAGGTCGATGTTTAATAATGGTGTATTGTGCATACTGGTCGATGTTTACTGGCGTTGTATTGTGCCTACAAGTCGATGTTTACTGGCGTTGTATTGCGCCTTTCGATTCTATGTTTTATAATTGTGTATTGTGCCTACAAAACGATGTTTAATGATATTGTATTGTGCATACAGGTCGATGTTTAATAATGGTGTATTGTGTCTACAAGTCGATGTGTACTGGCGTTGTATTGTGCCTACAGGTCGATGTTTAATAACGGTGTATTGTGCCTACAGGTCGATGTTTACTGGCGTTGTATTGTGCCTACAGGTCGATGTTTACTGGCGTTGTATTGTGCCTACAGGTCGATGTTTAATAATGGTGTATTGTGCCTACAAGTCGATGTGTACTGGCGTTGTATTGTGCCTACACATCGATGTTTAATAATGGTGTATTGTGCCTACAAGTCGATGTGTACTGGCGTTGTATTGTGCCTACAGGTCGATGTTTAATAATGGTGTATTGTGCCTACAAGTCGATGTGTACTGGCGTTGTATTGTGCCTACAAGTCGAGGTTTACTGGTGTTGTATTGTGCCTACACATCGATGTTTAATAATGGTGTATTGTGCCTACAGGTCGATGTTTACTGGCGTTGTATTGTGCCTACAGGTCGATGTTGAATGATGGTGTATTGTGCCTACAGGTCGATGTTTACTGGCGTTGTATTGTGCCTACAGGTCGATGTTTAATAATGGTGTATTGTGCCTACAAGTCGATGTTGAATGATGGTGTATTGTGCCTACAGGTCGATGTTTACTGGCGTTGTATTGTGCCTACAGGTCGATGTTTACTGGCGTTGTATTGTGCCTACAGGTCGATGTTTACTGGCGTTGTATTGTGCCTACAGATCGATGTTTAATAATGGTGTATTGTGCCTACAGGTCGATGTTGACTGGCGTTGTATTGTGCCTACAGGTCGATGTTTAATAATGGTGTATTGTGCCTACAGGTCGATGTTTACTGGCGTTGTATTGTGCCTACAGGTCGATGTTTACTGGCGTTGTATTGTGCCTACAGGTCGATGTTTAATAATGGTGTATTGTGCCTACAAGTCGATGTGTACTGGTGTTGTATTGTGCCTACAAGTCGAGGTTTACTGGTGTTGTATTGTGCCTACACATCGATGTTTAATAATGGTGTATTGTGCCTACAAGTCGATGTGTACTGGCGTTGTATTGTGCCTACAAGTCGATGTGTACTGGCGTTGTATTGTGCCTACAGATCGATGTTTAATAATGGTGTATTGTGCCTACAGGTCGATGTTTACTGGCGTTGTATTGTGCCTACAGGTCGATGTTTACTGGCGTTGTATTGTGCCTACAGGTCGATGTTTACTGGCGTTGTATTGTGCCTACAAGTCGATGTTTAATAATGGTGTATAGTGCCTACAGGTCGATGTTTGATAACGGTGTATTGTGCCTACAAGTCGATGTTTACTGGCGTTGTATTGTGCCTACAGGTCGATGTTAATTGGCGTTGTATTGTGCCTACAGGTCGATGTTTAATAATGGTGTATTGTGCCTACAAGTCGATGTTTACTGGCGTTGTATTGTGCCTACAGGTCGATGTTTACTGGCGTTGTATTGTGCCTACAGGTCGATGTTTAAAAATGGTGTATTGTGCCTACAGGTCGATGTTTACTGGCGTTGTATTGTGCCTACAGGTCGATGTTTAAAAATGGTGTATTGTGCCTACAGGTCGATGTTTACTGGCGTTGTATTGTGCCTACAGGTCGATGTTTAATAACGGTGTATTGTGCCTACAGGTCGATGTTTAAAAATGGTGTATTGTGCCTACAGGTCGATGTTTACTGGCGTTGTATTGTGCCGACAGGTCGATGTTAATTGGCGTTGTATTGTGCCTACAGGTCGATGTTTAATAACGGTGTATTGTGCCTACAGGTCGATGTTTAATAATGGTGTATTGTGCCTACAGGTCGATGTTTACTGGCGTTGTATTGTGCCTACAGGTCGATGTTTAATAACGGTGTATTGTGCCTACAAGTCGATGTTTAATAATGGTGTATTGTGCCTACAAGTCGATGTTTAATGATGTTGTATTGTGCCTACAAGTCGAGGTTTACTGGCGTTGTATTGTGCCTACAAGTCGATATTTAATAATGGTGTATCGTGCCTACAAGTCGATGTTTACTGGTGTTGTTTTGAGGCTACAAATGCGATGTTTACTGATGTTGTGTTGTTGCAGCGAATGGACGCCGGACTGTCAGGAAGTCAGTCTACAAGCAGTGGTGCGAGGACCTCGAGGACGGCATGTACATCAGCGACTGCACCACCTTCTACCGCTGTGTCAACGAGACTACGGAGTACCTGCCGTGTCCTAGCAACCTCGTGGCCAACGAGAAACACATGTGGTGTGACTAGTAAGTGACCAAGTGTGGCCGAGTGTGTGGTGACAAGTAAGTGACCAAGTGTGGGCGAGTGTGTGGTGACAAGTAAGTGACCAAGTGTGGCCGAGTGTGTGGTGACAAGTAAGTGACCAAGTGTTGGGGAGTGTGTGATGACAAGTAAGTGACCAAGTGTTCCCGAGTGTGTGGTGACAAGTAAGTGACAAAGTGTGGGCGAGTGCACGTGTGTGGTGACAAGTAAAAGACCAAGTGTTGGGGAGTGTGTGGTGACAAGTAAGTGACCAAGTGTTGGGGAGTGTGTGGTGACAAGTAAGTGACCAAGTGTTTGGGAGTGTGTGATGACAAGTAAGTGACCAAGAGTTTGGGAGTGTGTGGTGACAAGTGAGTGACAAAGTGTGGGCGAGTGTGTGGTGACAAGTAAGTGACAAAGTGTGGGCGAGTGTGTGGTGACAAGTAAATGACCAAGTGTGGGCGAGTGTGTGGTGACAAGTAAGTGACCAAGTGTTGGGGAGTGTGTGATGACAAGTAAGTGACCAAGTGTTTGGGAGTGTGTGGTGACAAGTAAGTGACAAAGTGTGGGCGAGTGTGTGGTGACAAGTAAATGACCAAGTGTGGGCGAGTGTGTGGTGACAAGTAAGTGACCAAGTGTTGGGGAGTGTGTGGTGACAAGTAAGTGACCAAGTATTTGGGAGTGTGTGGTGACAAGTAAGTGACCAAGTATTTGGGAGTGTGTGGTGACAAGTAAGTGACCAAGTATTTGGGAGTGTGTGGTGACAAGTAAGTGACCAAGTGTGGCCGAGTGTGTGGTGACAAGTAATTGACCAAGTGTGGCCGAGTGTGTGGTGACAAGTAAGTGACCAAGTGTTGGGGAGTGTGTGGTGACAAGTAAGTGACCAAGTGTTGGGGAGTGTGTGGTGACAAGTAAATGACCAAGTGTTGGGGAGCGTGTGGTGACAAGTAAGTGACCAAGTGTGGGCGAGTGTGTGGTGACAAGTAAATGACTAAGTGTGGCCGAGTGTGTGGTGACAAGTAAGTGACCAAGTGTTGGGGAGTGTGTGGTGACAAGTAAGTGATAAAGTGTTCCCGAGTGTGTGGTGACAAGTAAGTGACCAAGTGTTGGGGAGTGTGTGGTGACAAGTAAGTGACCAAGTGTTGGGGAGTGTGTGCTGACAAGTAAGTGACCAAGTGTTGGGGAGTGTGTGGTGACAAGTAAGTGACCAAGTGTGGGCGAGTGTGTGGTGACAAGTAAGTGACTAAGTGTTGGGGAGTGTGTGGTGACAAGTAAGTGACCAAGTGTTGGGGAGTGTGTGGTGACAAGTAAGTGACCAAGTGTTCCCGAGTGTGTGGTGACAAGTAAGTGACCAAGTGTTGGGGAGTGTGTGGTGACAAGTAAGTGACCAAGTGTGGGCGAGCGTGTGGTGACAAGTAAGTGACTAAGTGTGGCCGAGTGTGTGGTGGCAAGTAAGTGACCAAGTGTGGCCAAGTGTGTGTCGACAAGTAAGTGACCAAGTGTGGGCGGTGTTCATCTCAAACGTCTTCACACAGGGAAATTGAAACAAATTGTAAACCAACACAGAAAAAATGTCAAGCAGCGAAATATCGTAAGAAACAAAGCTACCTTTCTGTAGATTACACGTGCTAGATGATTAGTTAGCATTACTTCACTATTCTGATTTTCCTAGCAAGGATTTAGTGAAACCCCCGTGCGGCACCGCCCCGAACTGCACCGGCATGGACGGCAACTACCCCGACTACGCCAGGAAGTGCCAGTACTACTTCACGTGTCTCCATGACGACTTCTACGGCTACACAAGATGCGCAGCCAGTAAGTTATACACATGTCAGTCCCAGGTGAAGGCGCGATGAGCGGAATTGTACCCATATGAGGAATCGAACCCGGGTCTTCGGAATGACGAGCGAACGCTTTAACCACCAGGCTATCCCACCGCCCCTCACTTCTTGTGAATATGGTTCAAGCAGATGCACGTATGGTATCTGTTAACTTAAGGTAAACATGAGGCGGCCGGTTCACATGTTGTTGTTTGTTTGTCTGATGTCTAACGCCGCACTCAGCAATATTCCAGCTATACGACGCCGGTCTGTAAATCGTCGAATATGGACAAGACATTCAAGTGATTCATATCATGAGCATCCATCCACGCTATGAGTCGATGACTGTGTTTAACACAGAGATCGTATAGCACATTCTACCCTGACATTGAAGAATGTTTGGTTCTGATTGGTTGAAAAGAGGCATCCTATTTCCTGCTGATACCTCTTTTAAGTTACGCCTTTCAAAATGGTGTGCATGAAAACATCGATGTTTGACGCATATAACAATGGCTGTCGGTAACCCATTAGTATAGTGTAGACGTTCAATATCAGAGCAACAGCTCACCAAACAGGATGCCATCTATTTCAGAACTCACACAATTCAGTAAAACACACACTGACCACCGTCAGGGCCACACCGTCATCGGTCACAACAGTCTCACTCGTGTGGTCTGCAACTTAAATTCTACCAGGTCAAAGTTCAGGGTGGAGAGATATTCATTCGCAGTGTACATGTATTTCTGTTGAGGAATTATTTCAAATGAACTGCAACATAAATACAACTTCAAATAACTAAAATCGGGTTATTTATTAAATTATTTTAGAGAAATATACTCGTTAGCATATTTTCACTCAACTGTCACTCCTTCAATGGGAGATGTCATGTTGATTGCCAAGAACTAACTTGGTTGAGTCGAAGCAGTGCAAATATGCAACCGGTTGCGATGATATTAATGCATTTATCTTCAAAGGGTTCTTTGACAATTTCGTTTTGAAAAAAACCCGAGATTTTTGAACCGTTATTATGAACTAGTGAAGACTATGAATATTTTAATCTTGAACTTAGGTTCTATTGGCTACGTTCATAACGACCTGTGACCCCTTTTCGGAGTGAACTTAGTTAACGCACATAAATACACTTCAAACAGCGCGCTAAAGCACTGAGCCCCAAATTAAAAATAAGAGGAACCTAAGCTACTTTGGGACTACTTCAAATTTGATAACACAGTAGTATACCTTCTAGTCCCCCCCCCCCCCCCTTACATACGTCCCACCCCTCCCCACACAGCCCCCACGTCGTGTGTACACAGATGGGGTCAATCCATGTCGAGTCACCTGCAAACAGAGAGCTCACCTGGGATGCTCCTCATTTATGCAAACATCAGGTCAACTGTTAACATTTGGAGATGGATTCCACCAGTAAGCATGAAATATGTGAGACTGTCTTGGAGAACTTACATAAACATTATAATTAAAAACTAAAATTAAGGACGAATATTACATGAATATGTACAGCATACATGTAGGTGTGAACGTACTGCTGGTGCTGCTTCGTGTATTCTCACATCACACACAGTGAGCAGGTAATATTTTGTGTTGACAGATTTGCTTTTTAACCCCGAGAAGAACAACTGTGATTGGCCGTGGCTGGTCAAGCCTCCATGTGGGACGGCCCAAGGGAACGTGTGGCCAGATGGGAGGCCACAACCCCACGGCAAGTAGGGTCAGGCCGCACCCCACGGGAAGGAGGGGTCAGGTCGCACCCCACGGGAGGAAGGGGTCAGGCTTCATCTATGAGATGACAGAGCAACACCGAATATGTTTGATGTCTATATCCACGACCGTGTCTTCTTCAACTGTAACTGATACAGACAGGGCCTTGCTGATTAAACCTGTATATACAGAAAGATTCATTTGATTTGACAAAGAGTGATAAACAAAATTTCCTATTAATGACATTTTATTGCATGGGTTAAATGGACTGATAGCTCAGGGTCAGGGTAAACTGCGGTTGCCATGGTAACTGTGGGTTCCATGGTAACTGTGGATGCCAGGATATCCGTGGTTGCCAGGGTAGCTGTGGATGCCAGGGTAACTGTGGACGCCAAGGTAACTGTGGACGCCAGGGTAACTGTGGACCCCAGGGTAACTGTGGACGCCAGGGTAGCTGTGGATGCTAGGGTAGCTGTGGATGCCAACATTACAGCTGAGACTATCCACAAGGACAGCATATTTACAACATTAGGTTTATCTTTCGTAACATTTTCCCCTTGACGGACCCAAGATGCCCGTACGTCCTCGCAAATAAAGCTGATTCATATGGCAGTTGTTTTTGTTTTTCCGTGAAAATATGATGTCCTGGACGGAATCATCAAGTGAGTGAGTGAGTGAGTTGGGTTTAACGCCGCTTTTAACAGTATTCCAGTTATATCACGGCGTGTCATCTTAATGTGGGTGGAAAGTTCGAAGTGATGCAGGTCTCAGACGTTTACCACTTCGGTGAAACCCACAAGCACGGATATGGTGCTGACAAACCTAGAAACATAATCAGGGCGAACCGGGATTCAAACCCACAAACATAGGTTTCTGGCGTTCCCAAGGTACACAACTCTGCACAGCGAATCGCGGCACCTTAGACGACTGGGGCCCTCGTGCTCCCTAGGAGTCATCAAGTAACAGGTAGGTCTCTATAAGGCGAGGTGGGTTGGAGTGCAAATGTATAAAGACGTGTAAAGATGTATGTCATCGTATCCTATTTGTGTGGATCGATTCTCATGATGTCAATCACTGGATTGTCTGGTCCAGACTCGATTATTTACCGTCTGTCATCCTATAGCTGGAATATTGCTAAGTGCGGCGTTAAACAACAAGCGCGCAAAACAAGGAACCACTCACATCACCAAGTCACCGAGCCTTTAATCCATTAAGCCTCACGTCAAACATAGGCCACTAGGAACCACTCACATCACCAGGTCACCGAGCCTTTAATCCATTAAGTCTTACGTCAAACATAGGCCACTAGGAACCACTCACATCACCAGGTCACCGAGCCTTTAATCCATTAAGCCTTACGTCAAGCATAGGCCACTAGGAACCACTCACATCACCAAGTCACCGAGCCTTTAATCCATTAAGTCTTACGTCAAGCATAGGCCACTAGGAACCACTCACATCACCAAGTCACCGAGCCTTTAATCCATTAAGCCTTACGTCAAACATAGGCCACTAGGAACCACTCACATCACCAGGTCACCGAGCCTTTAATCCATTAAGCCTTACGTCAAGCATAGGCCATTAGGAACCACTCACATCACCAAGTCACCGAGCCTTTAATCCATTAAGTCTTACGTCAAGCATAGGCCACTAGGAACCACTCACATCACCAAGTCACCGAGCCTTTAATCCATTAAGTCTTACGTCAAACATAGGCCACTAGGAACCACTCACATCACCAAGTCACCGAGCCTTTAATCCATTAAGCCTTACGTCAAACATAGGCCACTAGGAACCACTCACATCACCAAGTCACCGAGCCTTTAATCCATTAAGTCTTACGTCAAGCATAGGCCACTAGGAACCACTCACATCACCAAGTCACCGAGCCTTTAATCCATTAAGTCTTACGTCAAGCATAGGCCACTAGGAACCACTCACACCACCAAGTCACCGAGCCTTTAATCCATTAAGCCTCACGTCAAGCATAGGCCACTAGGAACCACTCACATCACCAAGTCACCGAGCCTTTAATCCATTAAGTCTTACGTCAAGCATAGGCCACTAGGAACCACTCACATCACCAAGTCACCGAGCCTTTAATCCATTAAGTCTTACGACAAGCATAGGCCATTAGGAACCACTCACATCACCAAGTCACCGAGCCTTTAATCCATTAAGTCTTACGTCAAACATAGGCCATTAGGAACCACTCACACCACCAAGTCACCGAGCCTTTAATCCATTAAGTCTTACGTCAAGCATAGGCCACTAGGAACCACTCACATCACCAAGTCACCGAGCCTTTAATCCATTAAGCCTTACGACAAACATAGGCCACTAGGAACCACTCACATCACCAAGTCACCGAGCCTTTAATCCATTAAGCCTTACGTCAAGCATAGGCCACTAGGAACCACTCACACCACCAAGTCACCGAGCCTTTAATCCATTAAGTCTTACGACAAGCATAGGCCATTAGGAACCACTCACATCACCAAGTCACCGAGCCTTTAATCCATTAAGTCTTACGTCAAGCATAGGCCATTAGGAACCACTCACACCACCAAGTCACCGAGCCTTTAATCCATTAAGTCTTACGTCAAGCATAGGCCACTAGGAACCACTCACATCACCAAGTCACCGAGCCTTTAACCCAATAAGCCTTACGTCAAGCATAGGCCACTAGGAACCACTCACATCACCAAGTCACCGAGCCTTTAATCCATTAAGCCTTACGTCAAGCATAGGCCACTAGGAACCACTCACACCACCAAGTCACCGAGCCTTTAATCCATTAAGTCTTACGACAAGCATAGGCCATTAGGAACCACTCACATCACCAAGTCACCGAGCCTTTAATCCATTAAGTCTTACGTCAAGCATAGGCCATTAGGAACCACTCACACCACCAAGTCACCGAGCCTTTAATCCATTAAGTCTTACGTCAAGCATAGGCCACTAGGAACCACTCACATCACCAAGTCACCGAGCCTTTAACCCAATAAGCCTTACGTCAAGCATAGGCCACTAGGAACCACTCACATCACCAAGTCACCGAGCCTTTAATCCATTAAGTCTTACGTCAAGCATAGGCCACTAGGAACCACTCACATCACCGAGCCTTTAATCCATTAAGTCTTACGTCAAGCATAGGCCACTAGGAACCACTCACATCACCATGTCCGTGTAACGTTGCAGACATATTGTTCTGATGTTGTAACCAGCTGGTTCAACTGACGTAGCTGCACATACATGCAGAAAGCACGTGAAATACTTACTTAATTGATTTATTCTTAAATCATAAAGGAGACATATAGGTCCATCACTACTGTAATATGGCAGAGGAATTTATTGTTAAACAATGTTGTAATGATATTATATTCTTTCTGTAAACGTTCAGTAGAAGTTCACAACATGGTGTTTTAAGAGTATTTAGTGAAGGAAGGGAGGGAGGTATTATTATTTATTGTAAGCAGTGGTGTGAAAGTTACTATATTTTGGAGTCAAGTATAATCTGGCATCTTCTAGAAAACCTATCGACGAATCAAACATGATATGGAACTTTCTAGAAGGTATTTAGACTCTGAGACTGTACGGTAATATATATAAGGGAACAAGAGCATGCCTCTAACATCTCACATTACATCAAGACCAGCGACTGTGTAAAGAGCACCTTTTCACCCTGGGGATCAAGCCTAGACCTATTGTGGAACTGTTGCTGACAGGTGAATGTTATTATAGCTGACTTTATTGCTGCTACCACTGCTATTATATTTTGTACTGTCACAGTATTAACTGACACAGAAGTTTGCTCTGCCACTCCATTGTGTACTGCCATTGTAATTACTTTGCAATAATTTGTATCAATTTGTAAATCTAGCTTATAATACAGTTGCTAATTGTATAACATTTCAATGTTGTTTGTTGGTTTTACACTGAATTATTTTGAGTGTAGATTTCTGGGTTAACTTACGGTTTAATCTGGAAGTGGACACGTGACATCAAACATAACAACAACATATCATTTGTGATAATATTTTTTCAACATACGCCAGGTTCTGTGCAAATCGTGTTTTCATCCCAGAGCCAACCAAACGCTCCTTTAACATCAAAGAAACAACGAGAAGCGTTCAGTTTTCGTACCACCCTGAACACGGTTTTGAAACCAACCTTCATACTTGACACCAGCCCTAGCCAGGAGCCAGTGACACCCACCTCTCCGAGGATTACCCGCCACAGTTCTTGTATTTAAGGTCACGATACGTGATGGAGTGTTTCGTGTTTCAAATATTTAAAATCTGACATTAAAATCACCGGTGGCTTCTCACTTCCTGGAGTTTGACATATCACGTTTTGGATATGGAGAGGCTCGCGCTTTGTGAGCATGTTTCGACTCACATCTACGTCCTCGCAGGGATACGTGCCCCCCTCACACATATAAATACTAGGTGGACGTAGGTATCGCCAGTCCAGCAACAGTCGACACAAGGAGTGCAATATTTCAAAATGTATCTGCTACTGATCGCCGCTACCTGCCTCGGTGAGTATAGCCTTCCACATCAAGCGAAGTCATCGTCGTGTTTCTCTATGACGGGTGTCATGCTTCGATATTTCCTTTTTTTTAATTATCATATTTGCACATCTGGTCATCTTAGGATTGAGTGAGTATGGTTTTACGCCGCTTTTAGCAATATTCCAGGAATATCACGGCAGGGTACACCAGAAATTGGTTTTACGCATTGTAGGGAATCGAACCCGGGTCTTATGCATAAAGAGCAAACGCTTTAACCACTGAGCTACCGTACTGCCCCTCATCTTAGAAACTGTTCATTGCAAATACTGTTAGTCTCGCGCCATCCAATGAGCTCATTATAAAATGTCTATATAAACTGAACACAAAAGGTTAGGGATCAGTAATATTTTGGGGATATTTTGTTAACAGTGTAGGCTGAGCGTACATTTTGATAAAATATCCCCCAAAACATTCATAACCTGTTTTGTTCAACATATCTTTGAAGCAAATCAATGGTGTTTGTTACAGACTTTTTTTTCAACTGTACGCTTAGAGTGGAATGTTGCCAAAATCGGACAAGTATTATTCAGGACCTGTTATTGTTCTCTTGGCTATTTCTGGTGTGGGAGAACGGTTTCCCGCGTAGTCGCGATGTAGTTCGTTGAGTTGAGGTTCCTAGCCGTGCAGGATCCGCTGATCGTTTCAATCTAGTTTGTCCACATTGTGGCTCTGCCTTGTCGGCGCCACGCCCATGCCGTATCAGTCACCACAGGATATGTGACCTGCCTGTTTAATAAACAGTCCGTTGTCGTGTGTCACGCATTACCAACAACAACATGTGACCCAAAATCAGTCAGATCACATGTCAAAGAAAGTATCTGACCAAAACTGAAACATAAAAAAAAAAATCACGAAAACAAATTCCTTATCCAGAACAACTCTCAGTAGCAAGTATTGGATCCACGTGTTGCACACGCCTGTCACTGTGCCCCGCTGTAGGACATGGGGATCGATCCTTCCAGCTTCATTGATCCCTTCCAAAATCATGACTGAGCCCTCTTGATAGTGGTTATTTTCGGCTTCGTTGGAATCCTGAAATCTTTCTTATTGTCTACGCCACACTTGGAAGTTAAATCTAGACAGTATCTCGAATCATCAGTTAAAAGTACTGAAGCCCACTTTTGGTCTGGCCAACTGACGTGATCTTCAGCCCAGTCCAAACGTGCCTGCCTGTCATGTCGGGTCAGTGAGATACGAATGCATGCTCTCCGTCACCGATAACCCGCCTCACGGAGACGATGACGCACTGGGTAGAAACGTTTAGGCCACTGGCGTTCCGCTTTCATTTCTGAGTGTGGTGGCAGTCACGAAGTGATGACGTCTTGCTGCAAACAGGAGAAACCTGTCTTCCCACTGTGTGGTGGAACGCTGTCGACCACCGACCGCTGGGTTGCTGATAATGATGTGTAACGAGTCTGTCACAATACATCCAAAAACAGGTTTTCAAGCACCTCGTGCACATCGTGCACATGACTGCATGCCTCTGACGACTGTTAACTGATTGTTAATTGTTGTCTCTTGAATATTGTCTGATGACTGTTAACTGTTGTCTGTTGTCTGTTAACTGGTGTCTGTTGTCCGTTGTCTGTTAACTGGTGTCTGTTGTCCGTTGTCTGTTAACTGTTGTCTGTTGTCTGTTGTCTGTTAACTGGTGTCTGTTGTCTTTCCAGCCGTGGCGAGTGCTAGAAACCTCCCTACAGACTTCAACTGTACGGGGCTGCAGAACGGTCTGGCGTGGTGGGGTTGCAGGTCGTACGGCCGCTGTGACAACGGGGAACACGACCAGACCGACTGTGTCAACGGCACAGCATACGACCAGCTCGACGGCGTGTGTGTGCCGTAAGTACGGGCAATTGTGGCTCGACCGACGGGTGACCTTTAGTGCAGGTCAAACACGAACCTTAACCGTTGTTTGCTTTGTCTCCGTAATTAATAATGACAATTTCAATTAAGATGAAACCTTATGATTGTACACCCTAATCTCTACCCTGTGTATCGTCTCGTGTCTCTCCTGTATCTCTACACCATACACACCGCTGTTTCTACCCGTATCTGTACCTCTTACATATATCGACATCTCTACCTCGCATCTCTATCCGTGTCTCCACCTCTATTATACCCCTGTATCCACCCCTATTCTACCCCTGTATCCACCCCGATACTACCCCTGTCTCCACCCCTATTCTACCACTGTCACCACCCCTATTCTCCCCCTGTATCCACCCCTATTCTACCCCTGTATCCACCCCTGTTCTACCCCTGTATCCACCCCTGTTCTACCCCTGTATCCACCCCTATTCTACCCCTGTATCCACCCCGATACTACCCCTGTCTCCACCCCTATTCTACCCCTGTATCCACCCCTATTCTACCCCTGTCGCCACCCCTATTCTACCCCTGTCTCCACCCCTATTCTACCCCTGTATCCACCCCTATTCTACCCCTGTCTCCACCCCTATTCTACCCCTGTCTCCACCCCTATTCTCCCCTGTCTCCACCCCTATTCTACCCCTGTCTCCATCCCCAGGGAGGACCGTGCGGCATGGCCATGCAACAGGGTCGCGGACTGCACCGCCCTCAACTCCACCGTCCACCGCATCCCAGAGCTGGACAGTCAAGGCGAATTCGAACCCTGCCGCTTCTACTATACCTGTAACTATGGCAACTATGCCGGACATCAGATGTGTGGACAAGGTAGGGACCTCGTGGACTTGTTTATCTGGAACATATATGGCAAACGTCATGTTTACATTTAGATAGTGAGCGATGTTATCCCCTGGTGAAAACTTGAAAAATAGATTGTTACTTAAATACTTGTTGGGGATGAGAATTCAAGTGGAATTCATTCATGGAGTAATTAGCACCGCTTACTACACAATTTCGTAGTAAATACTCATTTTGAAATTTAAAAAAAAAAATTGACGAACACATTCGCATGTGTTTGTTTCACGGTAATATTATCCATCTTGTCAAATAACTTCTTCTAATTGTCACGTGATATGACCAAGTTAGTGCATCCCCTTGAACATCCGGGTTAGAATAGGTCTTCAGCAACCCGTGCCTGTCTCAAGGGGCGCCTAGCGGGCTCAGGTGGTCAGGCTCGCTGACTTCATGGACGCAATCGGAGCTGAATATTTTGTGAAAATGCTAAAAAATAACACAATGTTGTATGGGTGACTTTGGTATTGATGACTTGTTGGAATCACTATGCATCTACTCCAGGTATGAGTTAAGCATCGAAATCGTTACTTCTACTTACTTATCAAATTTAGTATCAATTTGTAGCATGACTATTTGTGTGGACTGGTTATCGAGACGTTTCCTTTGTTTCCAGGTTTAGTCTACAGCGAAGAAGCTCAAAACTGCCTGACCCCTGAATTCGTGCCTCCTCCATGTGGCACACTGAACGCCCCTCTAGACACCCTCTAGACGCCCGGCACATTGTACACATATCAACATTCCTCATTTCAAGATCTTTATTACATTTTATGTACATTTCGACACATTTTCCAACCTGCGCAACTGTAATTTCTTTGTCCGTTTCTACCTGATTTCGACTTTCTAACTACGTCACATCCTCTGCGATGCGCATGCGCGCCAGTATTTGTGGGAGTACGTGGACCTTGCAGGCATGTATATACATACGACCACAGCGAGATGATTATAAAGCTTGACTATTTCAAAGTCTGAAGTTTGTATATAAAATATGCCTGTATTTTTGTATTTGTTGTATATTTTATCTTTGAATAAATATTTATTGGCAAAGCAAAGTGAAAGTTTGTAGTTTTCTTGGGTGGAGTATCACTGGGAAGCTGATTCACTGACCCAGGAGACGCGAGAACTGTGCACCCTTCCCTCCATGCATGGACTTGGCGCCCTACAGGCGACACACAGCGACACCAGCACCTGCTACGGACCGTCACTGGGGTCGACAGCACGTGCCAGTGTATAGATCCCATGACGGTGGCGGCAACGTCACGTTGACGCGCACAACACAAACATGCAGCTGAATACTGAGTATTGTGGAGTTTTCGTGTTACTGCTTGCACGAGTCCGGACTAAGGGACCGACCATTTCGGGAATAGGTTGTATCGAGATTAGATATTTTGTTTGTTTAAAACCATGAGCCTGAATACCTTTTAAGAGCAACACTTAGTGACAATGGCATTTTTAAGGCAAGCAATTTCTTTTTTTTCTCAACAGTCTGAAGCATGATTATTTTTGTCGAGAATTTTCGGGGACAATTTAGGCTAGTGAGTAACAGAATATCACAACACCTGTTAAACCAATGTGGAAGGTAGAGATACAATACTGTTCATAACTATTATCCCCTCAGCGGGTCTGCATGGTTCATCACGATCCGACTGGGACGGCGTTCTTACCCTGGCGACCTATGAAAGCTGTGATCGGGACATGACTGCTCCATACGGGACATGACTGCTCCATACGGGACATGACTGCTTCATACGGGACATGACTGCCCCATACAGGACATGACTGCCCCATACGGGAAATGACTGCTCCATACGGGACATGACTGCTTCATACAGGACATGGCTGCTTCATACGGGATATGACTGCTTCATACCGGACATGACTGCTCCAAACGGGACATGACTACTTCATACAGGACATGACTACTTCATACAGGACAGGACTACTTCTTACAGGACATGACTACTTCATACAGGACAGGACTACTTCATACAGGACAGGACTACTTCATACAGGACATGATTACTTCATACAGGACATGACTACTTCTTACAGGACATGACTGCTTTATACGGGACATGACTACTTCATACAGGACATGACTACTTCATACATGACATGACTACTTCATACATGACATGACTACTTCATACATGACATGACTACTTCATACAGGACAGGACTGCTTCATACAGGACATGACTACTTCATACATGACATGACTACTTCTTACAGGACAGGACTGCTTCATACAGGACATGACTACTTCATACAGGACATGACTACTTCATACAGGACAGGACTGCTTCATACAGGACATGACTACTTCTTACAGGACAGGACTACTTCATACATGACATGACTACTTCATACAGGACATGACTACTTCATACGGGACATGACTGCTTCATACAGGACATGACTACTTCATACAGGACATGACTACTTCATACAGGACATGACTACTTTATACGGGACATGACTGTTCCATATGGGACATGACTGCTTTATACGGGACATGACTACTTCATACGGGACAGGACTACTTCATACAGGATATGCCTGCTTCATACAGGACAGGACTACTTCATACGGGACAGGACTACTTCATACGGGACAGGACTACTTCATACAGGATATGCCTGCTTCATACAAGACAGGACTACTTCATACAGGACAGGACTACTTCATACGGGACATGACTGCTTCAGCCGGAATCTGCCTGCTTCATACAGGACATGACTGCTTTATACGGGACATGACGGCTTGATATGGCACATGACTACTTCATACGGGACATGACTGTTCCATATGGGACATGACTGCTCCATACAGGACATGACTTCTCCATACGGGGCACCGACGTGACGGTTGTTACACGTCCTGTTGTCTTCTCAGAAACGCGAGGGAACGTTAGTTTTGATGAGTAGTGTAGGATTGTGGGGCACAAGTGTCCTGCTCAACACCGTGACATAATACTCGCGAACATAATCAATGATGTTTACTCTCCGTGAAACAGAATTGATTACATTACCACATCACCCTACAATCGATATGATACGTTATTAGCTCACCAGGCGACAAGGGCCTGGTTGCTGTGCCCCTCCCCCTCCCTCCTCATCTCCCGCTCACCTCCATCTCCACCCACACCGTGTCGAGTTGCCAGGTGTCTCATTACCAGACAGGTGAGACGCAGCCCTGTTTGCTACGCAAGCTGTCACCATCATACCTGAGCAAGGTTGTTGATTACTGTAAATTATTTAAAGTTTCATGGACCCCCGCAGTAATTAACCATTGATTATTCCTGAGGCGGAAACAGTAATACGAGGAGCCAAGTTATCAGACCCGCATAATCTGCTGGCAGTACACAGATGTACACAGTGAACCCATGACGGAACCCTGCCTGTGTTACTCTGCACTGGTCCCTTCTACAGTAGGAGCAGATAACTCTCAGTAGGAGCAGATAACTCTCAGTTGGGGCAGATTTGGGGCAGAAAACTCGCAAGCTCCTCACAGCGATAGTACGTTCCCGGAGCTCTCTATACTATCGCTGTCACCAGACAAAACTCCCCACTGTGAATAGGTGGCCACAACCATGCTTGGAGTTAAACTCGCAACCGAAGACCGTTATGTTAAAACAAGTGACGACTGTCGAGACGCCGAATTCACTTATCGCTGCTAAATTACTTTCTTCGTTTGTCAATTTGAATTTCTGTTTCATTAAATCTATCGTGTTATTGATACAGTAAGAATGTAAGGGAGAAGTTGGTTGATTTTCCGTTAGTCTGCAATCTCGAACCAATCTGATTATCAAAACAACAAAGAAAATTCATCTAGAAAACATGGTCAGTCGTAAACCTTTTCAAATGGAAATATGATGGCATTCCCAAAGACATAAACAAAAGTATAAACATTACTACATATGGGGTTAGAGGGCAAATTTCAAGATTCTTGTAATGGCAGCGCCCACACTGGTGGCAGCGATGTTACCGAGAGTTTAACGAAGGTGTCACGCGCTGGGAAGAAGCTTGGAAAACTCGCAGATTAGGGCAGATAGCTCTCAGTTGGGGCAGATAACTCTCAGTTGGGGCAGATAACTCTCAGTTGGGGCAGATATTGGGGGATTACTCTCAGTTGGGGGGCAGTGAGGATGGGGGGTGGGGGGTGGGGTGGGGGGGGTGGATGACTCTCCCATCGACTTCAAAATGGAATCTGTGTGAAAGATGATATTTGAGTTGCATTTCTTTTTTTTAGTCGGAAATTAAGGTTTACGTCAACAACAAAATATAACGCTTTACACGGCTACAAACATGCATTTTTATCATTATCACTAAGTTTCAGACCCGTGAAGATCCTCATTTGCATTGGTCTGCGGAAACCCATGCTTGTCGTAAGAGGCGACTGACGGGTCGGGTGGTCAGGCTCACTGACTTGGTTGATGCATATCATCGTATCCCGATTGCTTAGATCGATGTTCATATCACTGGATTTTCTGGTCCAGAATCGATTATTCGTACAACCCGTCATATAATGGAATATTGCTGAATGCGGCGTTAAATAAGAAAGAAAGAAACAAACCAAAACTAAATGATTGACTGTTTTGCCTCCCTTAAGCATACACTACAAGCATACACTACAAGCATACACTACAAGCATACACTACAAGCATACACTACAAGCATACACTACAAGGAGCATAAAGTGCCACGCCTCCCCAAAAAGGCGGGGTGGTTGTTTTTGTGTTGCGTCATATTTAGATGCCAAGAATTGTTTTTCACGATCTAGCATCCTACTGGTTGGTAAAGAGGCTGAGGATACAGCACTGCCTTACAAGTCAACACAACCGCCTCTGTCGTGTTGTAGAACGTGTTTTTACGGGAACCGGAATATGTTTTTTAAAGCACTTGGTGTTACCCTGTCTGCCGCTCGTCATTAAGCGGATAAAATAAGCAGTGGACAGATCGTAGTTAGCAGTACAAGCAGCCTCACACAATCACCTTCAGTCCCAAACAAGGTATGTTTATCTCCGCGCTGCCGTCACCTGTCAAGCTTTCGTTGTTACACGGACACCCGATATTTTTTACTCATTTTGGTAAGGGGTGTGCATGAACTTCTTCATCAGTAAAGGTTTCTAAGTTGTTCAGCCGCCCACTACATAAAGTAACTGACTTATATTCGGAAAAGACCCCACGTCACAGAGGTCTACAAGCACAGTTATGGGAACTGATCTTCAGACCGTCCTCGCTGAATGCCTTCGCAATGTATATTTTCAATGTTTCGTGTACACTTGGAAAAGGCCTCGATTATCCTTATGTATCATGTATAGATTTATTGTGTTTATTTATTTATTCATTTTTTGTTTATTTATCTATTTATTGATTTAATAACTTATTTATTCATTACTTAGTGTGTGTGTGTGTGTGCGTTTTTGCGTATGTGCGTACATTTACATCTACAGAAGAACGTTTATTTACAATAGGGGTAACACGTTATGTCCTTGGTTTAATATATTAGCTTCAAATATCGTAAAAAGAACAAAAATGTCGAACTATGCATGAATGCTGTCTATAAAGTAACTAAATACACAAAGTACAACAAAAACAGTTGTCTGTTCTTTGTGCTGACTGAAAACTGCTGTCATGAATATCTGCGTTATAAGATGAAAGAACGGGGTGTTTATTTTGACCAATGAATATTGATAAGTTCTTAATAAATCACCTCATTTGTAAATAGTGACATGTATTAATTTAGTTCCTGTACACAACTATGTTGTTCATCTAAGGCCCTTTTGACAAGTCAAGAGGAAATATTACTCATTAGTGGAAGAAACATCTTCCCAGACAAGTCCATCTTGGTCCTGTATGGGCTGTACGTGTTTACCCACTCAGGCCACTGTTGGAGCCCTTGGACAAGTCCATCTTGGTCCTGTATGGGCTGTACGTGTTTACCCACTCAGGCCACTGTTGGAGCCCTTGGACACATCCATCTTGGTCCTGTATGGGCTGTACGTGTTTACCCACTCAGGCCACTGTTAGAGCCCTTGGACAAATCCATC